GGTGGGAAAATGACATAGAACACCCTCCATTTTTTGGCAGGTGCTCTTTTGAAAAAGTTTGCTGGACAGTGTAAACAAACTGACAAATTGTTGGATGCTAAGCTGCAAAAAATGGGTCAGAAATGGTGTCCTAGAAATGCTAATGATGCCACTACCAGGGGTGGGGGGAAAATACATACATGTGAGTTACGTAATCAGATTCATTTTTTTTATTACTTTTTTCATTGTTTGACACTTCTCCTGTTCCCGTGTTGAGAGAAATCGTGGGTAAGTGCAGAGGCGTTTAAGAACATGATGGTTATTGTAGTTCTAGACTTAAATTTTAAGCAGGCATTTAATCATTTCCCTTCCACAAAAAAAGTCATTCCTCAAAATTAATAAAAACAGGGAAATGCAAACTATTAAAGTGGTGGTTGATTATGATTTCACTTTTCTAACTTTAGTTAGTGTGTAATGTTGCTGTTTGAGCATAAACAACTTCACATATACACACATCAGAGACATATTTTACATATATTGTAAAAAGGGGCATTATACCACCCCTTTAAACAAACCTGCAAATAATTAAAATGTTGAATAATACATCATTTATGTATTTAATCTCACTTTATTAACCAGTGTCTTTGCTGTTGACTTTTGATGATCCAATTCATAAGCAAAATGACTTTGTTGAAATGTCACAGTGTTTCACTTTTTGTTTTTCGTAAGAGTGTTAAACTTTCTTCTCCTGAGTCATTTCACTTCAAGCATGGAAGGGCCTTTACATTTGCCCAAAATATAACTTTTTTATTTTGTAATAAACAAGTAACAGGTGAGAAAATGTAACGCAATGCATTACTTTTCATGAAAAGTAACAAACTAACACAATTAGTTACTTTTTAGGGAGTAACGCAATATTGTAACGCATTACTTTTAAAAGAACCTTTAGAAAACGTAAGAAAAGAGACGGTTTGAATTCAATTACAGTAAATTTGTAATGGAGTGACATTGACCTGCTGTGAAACTCACGATGTTGTGCGCTGTAATGGGTGGAAGGATCAAAGTGAGGGACCATTTGTTTTTGATGGTTAAAGGAGTCTCATGCATAAGACTAGGTGTTGGGCGTTGAGGTGTGGGTCGGAGCTGAGTTGGCGTGTTAGCCTGTTTATTGGTGCGATGCGAGTGAGGCTGGAATGAGCAGAGTCATCTCGCTTCTGTAACTCGATGCTCAACCGTGATGGCCCACGGCAGCTGAGCAGCAACCGTATCAGTGTTTGTGTGGTACGCATGTGTATTAGAGTGATACAGAGAGTAAGTCTCCCAGCCCCTGTTGCCCTGTATACTGGGTCCCCATAAAGAAACACTGAATCCTTTAAGTGTATGTATGTATGTGTGTGTGCTTTGCACTTGTGCCCATGTTATGTATGCTGCCCTACAAGGGCAAACTTCATTTCCACTGAACCTAAAAAATGAATTATGATTCAATCAGAAATATGTAGTAAAATATGTGCATTACAGAATTAATAATCAAGGCTGTGTTTTGTTCTTTGATACATTTTGATAACACTTTACAATAAGGTCAGATTAGTAGTTATCGCATTAAAATTAATTATGAACAAAACATGTGTTTAAGTATTTATTAGTCTTTGTTAATTTCAACATTTACTAATACATTATTAAAATCAAAGTTGTATGTTAATGTTAATTGAGCTAACATGAACTAACAAAGAACAGTTGTATTTTTATTAACTAATGTTAACAAAAAATTATAAATACTGTAACAAATGTAGCTACAGTATTGCTCATTGGGTAACACTTTATTTTACAGTGCCCTTGTTACATGTTACATGTACTTACTATAGCAATAATGGTAAATTATGCATAATTACATGCAACTGACCCTAAACCAAACCCAATTCCTAATCCTAACCCTATAGTAAGTACATGTATAATTACACTGTAACAATGACACCTTAAAATAGTGTAACGACTCATTGTTAATGTTAGTTAAAATATTAACTAACATTAACTAATGGGACCTTATTGTAAAGTGTTATCTATTGTTCTTTATAGTTCTTTTGCAGTTTAATCTGTTTGAAATATTTGTTTACTTTATATTTTTTGTAGCTTAATTCAATACAGTGATAAAAGCTTCGGGAATTATCGTATTATGAAAATTTGATACGTCACATGCCTATTATAGTTCATGTCAGCTCAGGTCCATTAAATAATGTTGACAGATGCAACTTATTAGTAATTAACATGAACTAAGTTCTGCTTTAGAATTATTTTTCATTGTTAGTTCATGTGAACTAATGTAATTAACTATTATTATCAGATGGTACCTTATTGTAATGTGTTACCCTTATAGTGTTTGATTTCATATTCAACGAGAAAGATACAAAATGGCGGCCTGACACACTTAACCACCTCCTCCGGCTCCTCGTTAGTAGTGGGCAGCCGTTGACTGTCTCTGTGAACTCATCATGATCTATGTGAGTTGGCGGGGGTGACTGTGTCTGCTAAATTAATAAGTAATATGATGTTCTATCTAGAGTAATGTTTGGTTCTCTTTGGTACTGTGGGAAAGTGTCTTGCTGTCGCTCCCAAGCAAGTCTCGCACACTTTGTCATTGCTTTGGCACATTTATTTGGGTTGCCTCATGCTTCAGTCTCAAGGATGGGATCTCACAGGTGGAGTGTGGCAGACTGGAGGTTCGACTGGTCGTGGCTCATGTCTTAGAGGGAGTGTCAGTCTGCCAAGCGTACATCTTCAAGGTCAGCTTGTAACGTAGCCTTTCCTTGGCAGTCCACAGTCATCTTAACTGACATTTCAAACCTCAGTGGTGTACACTTATTGTTCTGAGATACTTTATAGATCATTAAATTATGTGACCTGAAGTGACTCTCAGCACAGCACAATAATAGCAGAACTCTCTACCGTAGGTTAAAGGGGTGGTTGATTATGATTTCACTTTTTTAACTTCAGTTAGTGTGTAATGTTGCTGTTTGAGCATAAACAACATCTGCTAAGTTACGACGCTCAAAGTTCAAAGCAAAGGGAGATATTTTCTTTTTCAAGAAATTGCATTTTAAGGACTACAACAAACGGCTGAAAGGGACTACAAGACATTCCTCCCGGGTTAGTGACATCACCAACCCTAAAATTTACAACCCTGCCCCCAGGAACGCGAATATGCTAATCAATGACTAAGATAACTACACATAAGCTACATAAATTCATCAACTAACCATTCAGAAATGTTGTCTACATGTTGTCACTTCTTCTAGAGTCCATCTTTGTCTGACTCCGGTTTGACCTTGAACATAAAAGGCTAAAAGTTTTTGAAATTTTCAGGACACAAGCTGTTGAAGCTCCGCCCCCTGTGGTCCGCCCCCCACGGTGCGTTTTTGATCACCTTCAAAAAGTGACAATTTTAACATGCAATATAAAAATTTCTGTGGGGTATTTTGAGCTAAAACTTCACATACACACTCTGGGGACATCAAATACTTATTTGACATCTTGTGAAAATGGCATTATACCACCCCTTTAAATGAGCAACTATTCTGATATCAATGCAGGGTCTTAACCTTGTTATACAGCCTACTTATTGTATCAAATTTGATACGCACATTTCTAACGCCTCTAAATGATCAGCTTTGCTGAAAAACCTGTTGTACATCTACTATTGCCTTCTTTTGTCTGATTTATAGTTTATCGTTTTTTACTAACGATTATTCACTATTATTATTCACCGAAATTGCACAAAAATTCAGTTTAGGTTCTCATGTTTTTTTTCCACTGTAAAATCGCATTTATATAGTAAACGTGAGAATAACTTCTATATTGTTTGTAATATTTCAAGATGAACATTTACTGGACTGAAGCAACTTTTTAAAGTTTTTGAAGGTTTAATTGATTATCCATTAATCATTTTTTAATGATCAAATGCATCAGGCTTTTGAGTAACGTTTATTTGTTCATCTCTCAATCATTATTGTATTGCATTGCATTATATGTTTTTCCCCTCACAATTAAAACTACAGAGCTTTGATCATAAAAAATTGCTTACGTTTGCTCTGTTTGGGTTTCTGAATAAAACGTGTGATAGGTGTTTTTACCCCTTGAGTGTGAGCTCAATATTCTCACTATATCATTATTTCCATTCTGTCTTTTCCATTCTGTGTAACCAGTGGCACAGAAATTTGTTTCCTGAACCTATCTTAAGTTTTTTGCCATTTACTGCTACAATAATGCACATCTTATATATTCTGTGTAGGCTTATGATGTTTTGATATCATGCATATATAACAGCCATGACTGAGGGTTTTGCAGTTGTATTAATGACCACAAGGAGATGTTATTAAACAAGGATGTCAGTGAGAGGAAACGCTGTCTCATACAAGAGAATGCACACCCATACAAGTTTAGTCATGAACGGCCTCCAAAAACTTGTAATTTAGTGCATGTACCTCAACATTTTATTTTTAAATTAATGCTTAAACACCACAGCTTTTGGTTCACACCCAAGACTGTTTGTCGTCAGATTTTAATTTGTTTGGTTGGGGTTCATGTGCAAGTCAAACCACAATTGATGACATCATTTGCATATTTCATACTCCTGGTCACTTATTTAGTTACTAAACTTAATTGAAACAACTAATCTTGAGCTGGACCCTTTTATCTTCTGTAGAGCTGCTTTACAGCTTAAATTTGTTTCATAATTGATACATTTTATAGCATTAACATTGTATAATGTATTGTATAAAGTGCTAAATAGGCTAAATAAATGTGACTTGACTTCACTTCTTATAGATATTTGACTCTGAATAAAATGCTTTTGCATTTTTTAAATCTCTTGCTATACATCCGCAGCAGACAAATGCAAGCCAGTTTTGAAATGGAGAAAGTTATTTATTTTAATTTAAATTTTCCTCAAAATGCACTTACTCATAATATAACTTTCATATATGAAGTCCATGGTAACATTCATAATTAAAATTCCTCTCTCTCTTTAGGGAGCTTGGTGTAGAGATTCCCCGTTGAGGTGGTATCTCTTCGCGATGCCAAGATGGCAAGCCTTGTCCCTCGCACAGGCTCATACACATTACGCAAATTCACCCCAGAGTCCCTGGCGGAGATCGACAGGCTCATCCAGGAGAGGAGCACCAGGGAGGAAGTAGACGGGGTTGAGGAGGAACCACTGGCACCAAGCAATGATCTGGAGGCAGGAAAGTGTCTGCCCATGATCTATGGTGAACCACCAAAAGATCTCCTCAACACGCCTCTGGAGGATCTAGACCCCTTCTATAAAGCACAGAAAGTCAGTCTCACACCCATAAATGTTAAATAGATTGCCCTTTTTTTAAACCTAAACCTGTGTTTGTCTGGGGTGGGCGATATGACCAAAATCTTATATCACGGTATGAGTATACAGTATAACGACATACAGTATATCACAATATAGTTGTTTTTGCTTTAAATAAGGTTTTTATGATATAAAATGTTTTGATACCATTGAAATTTCATAATTCTTGTCACCATTTTCAATATCACAAACAACTAATACTAAAAAAAAACCTCAAGCTTACTGAAGACAAGAAAATTGTCACGCTCTGCTAAGTGGTGTGTGAAAGAGCACGATGAAGACGACTAATGCTGAAAAGACTTTACGTAAAACTCACGAAACCAAACTCAGCGATAGCATAAACGAGAACCAACAAGACTAAAAACACAGGCAGAGATATATACTGTTAGAAAACCAAGAGAACAAATTAGGGAACAGCTGAAAACAATAAATCAAATTAAAAACCATGGTGACAAATTAAAAAACTAACCCAGGCCGGGCGATGGTGAAAACAGAAAACAAAATTCAAACACAATGAACTGTTGCATAAACAGTGATAAAGAAAGAACAAAGAATCTAATTACTAGCATACAGGAAAGCAACCTACAATAGAACAAAGACAAATGAAATAGACCTGGAAAATTTGAAGCACTAGAAATAAGAAATAGAGCCTACTACATCACTTGTATAAAGTAATCAAATCAAATTTTATTTTATTTGTAGAGCGCCTTACAACAACCAAAAGGTGCACAAGGCGCTTTCCAGTAAAACATCAATAAACAACAATATATAAAAACATAAGTGTACATAAAATAGCAATTGAAACGGGACGGAAGCTATGTGTTAAAAGCTTGTCTGAATAGATGTGTTTTCAACTGCGATTTAAAAGTGCTCAACATAGTAATACTTCGCAGGTGAGGTTGAAGTACGTTCCACAGCTTTGGGCCTTGTAATCAAATGTATAAAAAACACTGCATAGTCTTCACTGTGTAAATTAAATATACATTTATTCTTATGAAAGTTACAAAAGTGATTATTTGAAGAGCAGAGAGTTTCTCAACTGTTTATGTTCACTTAAGACATAAATGACTGTGTGTACCTGCAAAGACATGGTCACTTTGACACATACAGTAAGTATGTGTATTTACCAGTTCAAGCCCAGTTAGTCTGCAAAAAACAGTCAGTTCAGTTCTCACACGTTTTATGAGCAGCGGCTTCATGTGCCCGCACTTTTTTAATGCATTATTTAGCTAGAATACTCTGAGTGTAATATGCTTACATTTTTAAGTCACCATCTGGAAATAACCTGTTTTTAAACAGTCTTGTAAACACGGTTTACTTGCATTGCCAGGTTATTGATTTGCATGTAAATTGGGATATTTCAATAAACTAATTTTTGGAAATTATCAGTGTAAATGTGCTCAGAGTTAATAGTCCAAAATCTCTACCGGTTGACAAATTCCGGTTAATCGTGTCTACCGGAATATCGCCCACCCCTAGTGTCTATAAATGTTTTTCAATGTTGCCTTTGTGTTAACCTCTTTCTCATTTGCAGACGTTTATTGTCATAAGCAAGGGAAACACAATCTACAGGTTTTCAGCTGAACCAGCAATGCTTTGTATCAGTCCTTTTAGTCTTGTCAGAAGAGGAGCCATCAAAATTCTTATACATTCATATCCTTCTCAAGCCATCATTTTGATAACAATCATAATGTTTTGTAATGGTTATCATGATTGATTCAGTAATGAGTTGTTTGTCATATTTACCTTGACTGTGCTTCAAATATTTTAGTTTGTTCATCATGATCACCATCCTGTCCAACTGCGTGTTCATGACAATGAGTAACCCTCCAGCCTGGAGTAAAACAGTCGAGTAAGATTTACCTTGTGTGAACACACACATTTTAAGTACTAGCAGAATTATCAAATAATTTTGGAGAAATGAAAGATTAGACAGTAAATAAAACAACTTTTAAAAAAATCTATATGAAATATCAACACATTTATTGCTGGTTTATTTATTTATATTTCATTTTTTAATATTTGTATCTTAAATATATCCCAAACATGTTGTATAGTTGACATTTGCAACTGATTTAGTTCAGTATTAATACTAGTATTATATAATTGTGACTCTGAAACACTTTCTTATGATAATTAATTAATTCACAAGAAACATTTTTATTTCTGTTTATTTATTTGTTATTGTAGGTATGTTTTTACTGGTATATATACCTTTGAAGCAACAATCAAACTTTTGTCACGAGGCTTCTGCATAGGACCTTTCACATTCCTACGTGATCCATGGAACTGGCTTGATTTCATGGTGATTAGCATGGCGTGAGTATTTCAATTCACATATATACATTAACTTCAATACACACACATACACACACATATATAGGGCTCGATTGAAACACACACACACACACGCGCGCGCGCATGCGCACGCACACACACACAACTGGTATTAAGAATGTTTCTTTGATCTAATGTTTTGCAATGTATCTTTCAGACACCTTCTCAGTAACTGTCAGCTAATGCTACCACTTGGCCACATTGGTTGACAGTTCTAAATATAAAACATATAAAAACCAATCACTTTCCACTGCCAGGAACAGCTAACACAAAGAAATGATTAGAGGAATAATCTCTTTTGAATCTTGAAATTGTATCATTCTAAACCAGTACAACTTTCTTTATACTAATATTTCTTTATACTGTGGAATACAAAATATGAGTAGCACTTCATTTTACAGTCCTGTTTCACATGTACCGGTACATACTATGTATTATTATAGCAATTACAATAACTAGGTTATAACTAGGTAATAACCCTGAACCTATCAGTAAAGCTGACCTTAACCCATGTAGTCACCTTATATTAAAGTGCTTTCTTTGGTAACTACACTGTAAGTATACATTCTGTAAAATAATGTTTATCCAAATATGAGATGCTAAAGTCTGTTGATTGCTTTTTTCTATGAAAAGAAACCCCTTTACTTCATTTTAAGGTGACGTAGTTAGTTACATTGTACTTACTCAAATAAGTACTGAGTAATATTAATTAACTATATGTACTTACTATAGAGTTATGGGAAGGGTTAGGGTTTGGTTTAGGGTTAGTTACTTGTAATTATGCATCATTTACTGTTATTACTATAGTAAGTACATGTAGTAACGTGTAAATACGTCACCTTAAAATTTAGTTGGACTGCAAAAGGATGCAATATCAATATTAAAAGTGGGTAATGTTTTCTTTATTTCAATCATATTGTAGCTGGTGTTGTCTGTTGTGCCTATTTGACACTGATTTGTGGTTTGATTGTTTCTAGGTACATCACAGAGTTTGTAGACCTTGGTAATGTGTCAGCACTGAGGACGTTTCGTGTGCTTCGAGCTCTCAAAACAATCACAGTTATCCCTGGTATGTAATAATTGTATGTAATGCTACAGTTCTTTAAAAAGCACACACAAATGGAAAAGCACAAAACCACACAAGCGCAAATGTTTTCAATGGTATTTTCTTTAATGTCTTTGGATGCAACTACATTTATTTCCATAATATCATTTTGATTTTAATGATAACACCTTTGCATTGCATTTTTTTCTCCACCATATGTCTGAAAAATGCATAACGTACATACACCATAAAAGAATTGTTATTTTGTTTCAATCTCTCCTTGTACTTTCCGCTCAGGTTTGAAAACCATTGTCGGGGCTTTGATTCAGTCAGTCAAGAAGATGGTAGACGTAATGATTTTGACCGTCTTTGCACTGGCTGTATTTGCCCTCATTGGCCTGCAGCTGTTCATGGGAAATCTACGTCATAAGTGCATCCGTTGGCCCATTCCCAACAGCACCATCTTTGATGTCTACAACTCCACCATGGCCAATGACACCACCCTCAACGTCACAGATACTTTCGATTTCAAAGCATACATAAGCAATGAAGGTGAATTCAGATCAAGGTTATTAAATATTTCCAATTTTTAACTCAACTATGTCATCATCACATAGTTAGTGCTACAAGTAGTAGGCTACTAGCAGCACTTGTAATTCCAGGACAATAATAATGATGATAATAATTTTGTAAATGTGAAAAGTATTGGAATGGTTTTGGCATACATTTTTTACAGCTGTGTTGTGCTGTTTTTATTGGAATTTGAGCTGTGTTTTGTGACAAAATGTGTGAAATATTAGTTAAATATAATGATTCTTTTTGCAAGTCACTGTTTTTTTTTTTTTAAATCCTACAATGAAAATGCAAATATATTGTCTACTATAAACTTTTAGTGCGTTCAAGTCCTCCTGGCAAGTTTGTATTTACGAGTTGGGAAGTCGTGTTTACGACGTCAGGTGCGTTCAAGATACTTTCGTCAGAGCAAGGTGGCGGTGTACCTTCTCTTAATTAACTACACAAAAATCAACTTTTTAAAATTTACTTAATTAAATTTACTTAATTAAAAACAAAGAATGTACATCCGATGTGCTTTACTTTTTAACATTTTTTATAAATTTATGAAGCCACTGTAAACTTGATTGGAAAGTATTATATTGTTATACACTGCCCGGCCAAAAAAAAAGTTGCAAGATCCATCAGTCTCAAATTGTGAAAGAATGGTTAAGAGGGAGCATGACGAATCATTTTGACACTGAATTGGCACTTCCAGTCTAGATCTTAAATTCATTGAAAGTCTTTGGGATGTGCTGGAGGAGACTTTACAGAGTGCTGGACTCTTGCATTGTCAATACAAGATCTTCACCAAAAATGTATGCACCTCTTCATGGAAATAAATAACATCACAACAGTCAAGCACTCTGAGGCCTAAATAAAACCCCGAGCTTCCCACTCGTATTTATGACTTTGTGGTGGTGTTCATGTGCATTCAACTCATGAAATACGATCTTTTCGACATGACTTGAACGTACCATTTGTCTACTAAAAATTTGCTTGTTATACTTTGCAGAAAACCAATACTTTCTGGAAGAAAGTTTAGATGCTTTAATATGTGGTAACAGCTCTGATGCTGGGTAAGTTTGCTTTCATTCCTATTTAGCGGTAATTGAAAATGCTTGTAATTTAATATAGGCTGTCTATAATATCAAGTGCTTTCATTCATTTCTGATAGCAAATTGTAATGCCACATAAAGGCAATACAGATTTATGTATGAAAAGATAAAGATGAATGACATTTGTTGTCTGATGTTTTTATAGGAGGTGCCCAGAAGGATACACTTGTATGAAGGCTGGCCGAAACCCAAATTATGGCTACACCAGCTATGACAACTTTGGCTGGGCCTTTCTCGCCCTCTTCAGAGTCATGACTCAGGACTATTGGGAGAATCTCTTCCAGTTGGTCTGTTAACTACAGTAGTTGTTTTTATGTCTGTTCATCTGTTGGAATACAGTAGCGTAAGCGAATTAAATTCCATCTTTTCCATCTTGTTTAGACCCTTCGTGCTGCTGGGAAGACCTACATGATCTTCTTTGTGGTGGTCATCTTCCTGGGCTCTTTCTACCTCATCAATCTGATCTTGGCTGTGGTTGCGATGGCATATGATGAGCAGAATGCGGCCACCTTGGCTGAGGCCATTGAGAAAGAAGAGAAGTTTCAAAGATTGCTAGAGCAGCTCAGGAACCAAGAGGTCAGGTGACTACCATAATGATTTCACATTAAAATATGGTTACTTTCTTTAAAATGAACAGATTCAGTTGATAATGTGTAATGCATATCAAAACTCCAAAACACTCATTATTCAATTATGTATATTGATACACGTCACACTGATATGTTGTTATATAGTGGTTTATTTATATCACAAATTACAGGTAGGCAGTAAAGCATCTCTGGCCAGCCAGACAACTCAAAGTCGAGGGTCAAACAGGACAGGTTCCCTGCACAGTCTTGACGGCGATGATGCCATAAAGGACTGTAATGGCCGGATTGTGCCCCGCCTCATCATCAACAGAGTCTCCTCTGACAGAGAGGTGATGTACAGCTTTCAGATCAGGAGTATTTAAAAAATATGTTTAGTATTATTATTTTGGGGAATCTGTAAAACTTGAGTTCTGTTAAAACCAAGTACTTTTACATTGTAAAAATAATACTTTTTATTCTATTACAATTTCAAGTAGACTTAAAAGTACAAAATACTTGAGCTGCACGATTAATCGTTAACAGATCTCACCCATGCCATCTCATTCCTAAATGACAATGATTCACCTGTGTCTATTAAACCTTTGGAAAAATCACACCGGAACATTCAAACTTTTCAACCACACAGTATTGTCATTTCTGTGTTACCAATATCATCACAGAAGTCCTGAGATAAAAGTTTATAGTTCGTATAAAAACACTGATGTCTACAGAAGTGATCAAAATGGAGCAAATTACCTTTTAAAAGTAACTTGGCACTTCAGAAAACAATTATACCAGGTGGCAACAATTGACTGTTAAAAAATGTATCTGTCATTAAATCATTCATTCAAAAAAGATTCCTTCAAAAACGCTGATTTATCCAGTAATGAACCAACTAAAGTATTTATGAGTGAGTCATTGAATCATTCGTTTAAACCGAGTTTTTTAAATAATTCAGATTAATTAACATTTTGTCAGAACCTCTAGTAAATTACGTTTTTGTTCCGAATCATGGGAAAACCGTGGTCTCTGTATGACACACAAAAGGTTCTCAATTTATCCAGAATCATGCAGCTTTACAAAGTCTCATATGACTTAAATTGTTTCTCAATTATTTAAAAATAAATACAGTATTTTGTGACTGAAAAATGAGGGTGAGTAAAGGATGACAGAACGTCAATTTTTGGGAACTTGAGTCATGAACATGAAAGTGTGAACACGGTTCATGATTAGTCTTGATTATTAGTCTAAAAATCACTATATTCAAATGTCAAACCACTGTATAATCATCTGCTGAAAATATTTGATCAAAATATTCAGCTAATAGGTTACAGGATATTGGTTTACTTTAACATCTGCTGTGTTGTAGAGTTTTATGTAGTCAGAACACTGAGAAAATAATGATTTAATTGAAAATAGTCATTTTTGCATAAAAAATACTAAAATGGTAAAATCTCTTACACCTCAAAGTGTCATTTTTCAGGTTTTAAAAACTTAAGTACAATTAAATGTAGATACTATTTTACCATTACTCATATTTTTTGGTAGATACATAGAATTTTAATTTGACTAAAATGTTTGACAGTTTATGTACTTTAGCGTAAGTACAATTACTCAGTACTTTTTACACCCCTGATTACTGTACTATTTATACACAACCAGTCAAAAGTTTCAACATACTGTATTTTTCATATGATCTTAATGACGTTTTGATGCATGCCATCATGCTCATTATACAGCAATAACTGAATGGTAAATAGAAGTTTTCGAGTCATTTAGAAATTGTAAATTAGAAAATTAGAATCTCTTCACTCTGGATTGTTGAAAAAGCTTTTATTTGACATCCGTTTTGAAACAGCGACTGTTTCATTTATCCTCCAGTTATCACAAGAGAAATTCACAAGAGATCCGCCTGAAGAGGATGACAAGTCCATGAGCTCCAAACACAGCATGCAGTACCTGGACCAGCCTAAGCTCTCCAAGAGAACAGCTAGTGCCGTCAGTGTGCTCACTGCCACGATGGAGGGTACTAGCTTGAAGTTAACTGCAAATTAAAAGGATACCTCATTAAGTAGCTATTGTCACTGAGGAGCATGTCTAGAAGCCTTTAGAGTTTTTACATTTATTGTGCTTCTCCAGATGTCCCAGAATGTCAGGGCTTTATGTTGAACATCAAGTGGTGTCCCAACACAGTACCAAAATGGTTTGTTATTCAAAAGTAAACAAAATTGTGCTTTAAATTGATTAATATTACCATCACTGCACAGGCTCAGCAAATTAATACATTTATAACCATGTAATAAATTTTTTGTATTTTTAGTTTTGAGGAGGTATGGTTTGCAAGACATTCTGTAATGATCTGGTTAAAACATCAAAGACATGCTAAATAATCACAGGCATTTTCTAGGGGCTTCATTTATAAAATGTTGCGTAGAAACTGTCCTACTTTTGATCTTTCGATTATTTCTCCAATGTGCGTACGTGTGATTCTGAGAAAGAACGCACTCACAAAAACATGCGTATGCCTCTCTTACAGCCTGCAGTCCGCAGTTTTTCCTCTTTGTCGCCATCTCTGTTCGAAATCTGCAATTGTTATTCGCGGAATTATCAACTTTACGTGAGTTGTAGTTCGACACAACACAGCGCGGATGAACACAATGTTTGAGTAGAGTGTGCAGCTGTCAGTCACCGCGCCGGTGTGGATACTGGCATTCAGAATCACAGATTATTCTTTTTGGAAGTATGACCAACATAATAATTTTCACCGGAAAATGGCATCTGAACAAGTAACATCTACTTTTGTTCTGGTTCTGACATTGCAGTAAATCGCGCTGATTAAATCTAACAATCGCTTATCATATCACGCAGAACCGTGCAAATTATACTTTGTTCTCAAATTGTTAATGTTAACAACGTCAGCATTGCGTGACTACATGTAATGTCCTTCCGATATGTATCCTTGTTTTCGCATGGGTCCGGTTGCAGTCTCTTTTTTTCTGTAGCCACTCCGAAGTCCGAAAGTCTTTTGCATTTTACAACGGGTGAGTCTCCAGTTGTCACTGGTGATTGTCGTTTGAACCTTTCTGGATCCGCCATCAAATTGATCTCCACCTCCAGCATCCTCACACTCAATATAGCTTATACTAGCCGAGACTCTTCTTTATGTGTACAGATGTGACGTAATGACGCAAAGACTTGCTCGAATCTCCCGCGGAAATCCACCAGTACCACTGGAATTAAAAACATTATTACACCGGTTTGAGCTAAGGCAAGCAGATAGTTTTGAACACTGGCTGGTTATGTATTTTCTCAAATATGTATTTTGGATAATTTTTAACCCAAAAAAAGCTGTGGAGCTGTAAAGATGTGAATCCATACACTTTTTGTAAATGAGGCCCTATGTTCTTGAATTTTAATATAAAGTGAAATTGTCTAGATTAGTGTGCCATGGTGTGACAGAACTGTTTTAGTGTGTCTATTGTCTGGAGCTAGAGATTTATTCCAAGCAAAGGTCACATTATGTGTGGAGAAAAAACCTGTTAACTTAATCAGAGTGGTGCTAATCTTTGGGCTATTTCAGAGCCATGGACTGACTTTAGACTGTTGCTGTCACTCTTCTGGTGTTCATTCATTGCTCTTAATGCTATTACCGCTCACTGTAAATGAAAAAAAAAAACATTTTCAATATCTCTTTCTCTATTTCTTTGTCTCACCAGATCTTGAAGATGCTCAGAGGCCTTGTCCTCCGGGCTGGTATAAATTCGCTGATATTTTCCTTAAATGGGACTGCTGGGCTCCCTGGGTCATCTTTAAGAATTGGGTTCATTTTGTAGTGATGGACCCATTTGTTGATCTAGGTATCACCATCTGCATTGTTCTCAACACACTTTTCATGGCCATGGAGCACTACCCCATGAGTACGGATTTCGAACATGTTCTCTCAGTAGGCAACTTGGTAAGTGTTACATTAATACTTCTGGATTACTGTCAAAACTCTGTAGAAATATTAATCTTCAGGATTTACCTTTTTGAAAATCTATGCATACTGTATGTCAGATAGAGCATATATCATAATGCATAGCTGTGTTTTGGATGCTGGTCCCTATGCTGATGTCCCTATACCAGCCATCTGAACTAGCTTAACCAGGGCCATGCTGGTTGACCAGCATTTTGTTGCAACTTGAACTAGCATGGAACCTTAAATCAATAAGATCAGAATCACTGTGAACAGAAACTGTAATAGGTTGAATGTGTGTATCTTCCCTTTCTGGGCTCGCCTGAGAACATCTTTGCACAGCTCTACACAAAAGCTTTCCTATTTTAGTAAAGTCATTTAAGTGTAGGCATTAGCATCAGGACAAAGCGACTGTTAATATCAGCAAAGCATGATTATCAGGTCATTCATTTTGGTCATTAATAGTATTAAAGTAATACTCTGCCCCAAAATGAAAATTCTCTCATCATTTACTCACCATCATGTCATTCCATTGTTGACAGTTTGGCTGAAGCGATTGTTTGTTTAAAAAGTTTAAAATAGTATTGTTTTCACACACCTATCATTTTGTGGCATGGGGTTGATTAAATGATAAGAGAACTTTTAATTTTTGGGTGGAGTATCCCTTTAAAGGTACACTATGTAACTTTTTTGTTCAAAATGTATTTATATAATGAGCGAGTCCATCATGAATCCAACTTCCAAACCGTGTTTTTGTCTTATCCTGAAACGCCTATAATAAGTGTTTATATTTAGACTATTTTAGACCGGGTGGGACAACAACCGTAGAACCTGCGTGACTCGTCATATACATGTAGTTTTGTTTATTAACAGCTAGAGCACCAAGAGCTACATAGTGTACCTTAAAATTGACCGTTTATGTTTCCATTCTTATCTCACCTTATTCTTCAAGGTATTTACAGGAATCTTCACAGCTGAAATGGTGTTCAAGCTTATTGCTTTGGACCCCTACTACTACTTCCAGGTGGGCTGGAACATTTTTGACAGCATCATTGTCACACTCAGTCTGGTAGAGTTGGGACTGGCCAATGTTCAGGGATTGTCCGTTCTTAGGTCCTTCCGTTTGGTAAGTCTGAATCTCAACCCCTCGATCTGTTTCATTATTTTATGGTTTGCGTGATTTATATCCTCTTTAACCTGTTACAATTTGTGAAATACTCCAACCCCACATAAAAATGGTGTGTGGTTTAACTTTGTATGTAATTGTGTCTCTATGTGTATGTTTGTGCCCATCTCTGACGGATGTGCTGGAAGTAGCTACGTGTCTTCAAACTCGCTAAATCTTGGCCCACCCTTAGCATGCTGATTAAGATCATCGGCAACTCAGTCGGTGCCCTGGGGAACCTAACGCTTGTCCTGGCCATCATCGTCTTCATCTTCGCCGTGGTGGGCATGCAGCTCTTTGGCAAGAGCTACAAGGACTGTGTTTGTAAGATCTCTCAGGACTGCGAGCTTCCCCGCTGGCACATGAACGACTTCTTCCACTCTTTTCTCATCGTCTTCCGGATCTTGTGTGGAGAGTGGATCGAGACCATGTGGGACTGCATGGAGGTGGCGGGAGCAAACATGTGTTTGATAGTCTTCATGATGGTCATGGTCATTGGAAACCTTGTGGTAAGTGAAGCGGAGATTGTACAAACATGATACGAATCAATTCTGGCACTGAACTTTGCTGATTTTGCTGAGTGTTCTGTAAAAAGACAGCAGTGTATCTCTGACATTGTATGTGCAAGAAAGCTTTCAGTACAGCACCGCTCTGATATGCTACTATTTTCCTTTGCACTGAGAGGGAACATCATTATTATTATTATTACATCTGCTGCCACTGCTAAGCTGTTAATCTTTATAACTGTTAGCCAGAAGCTGTCCTGATCTGAAGCTTTAGCATATCAACCAAGCCAAACCCAAAGGATTTTCAGCACAGCTGATGGCAGGCCGGCTGTTGTTGACATTCAGGTGGCACATCAGTTAGCATCTGATTCCTCTGTGTAACCAGGTGTTAATAAGTCATAACATTTCAACTTTCATATGTAGGGCAGCCTATAGTGTACAACCATTTGCTGAATTTCAATGGGAAAAATTCTTTAAATGTCTCCTAAATGAGAAATAAATGCTGAAATCAGATTTATTTATTATAATGTTAAATCAAGGTTATTATAAAGATTTTCTTACTTAGCAAAAAAGGATTTTCTTACCTAGTATTTTTATCTTGTTTTCCAGTACAAATACCTGCATATTTTTAAATACAGATATATTTACTTGAGAATATGCCTTAAGATATTAAGTCTTGTTTTCTGACAAATGTATTAAAATGAAGTAAGTTTATGCTTAAAACAAGAAAAAAATGTCTGTCAATGGAAAAGGAAACATAATCTTGTTTTCCCATTGAATTAAGTTTATTTTCTTACCCTGCGGACAGATTTTTTTTTTTTCTTGTTTTAAGCATAAACTCACTTTATTTTTATACATTTTGCATCTCAGGGAAAAAAAATCTTGATTTAAGAATGTTTAGATATTGTACCAGTAAACCAGACAAAAATACTAAGTAAGACCCTTAAAACCCTTAAACAGGGCACTATTTGAGGGGACAGCCATTTGTAGTGGTGTCCGAAACTATAGTGAACGTTATCGAGTGCACTCACTCAATCCCATAATGCACCACAGCTGAATCATCCATCCATTTTCCAAACCGCTGCTCCAATGTGGGTGCAACGGTATATATTACAGCAGGTATACATTCCTTTTTAATTGATTAATAAAGTGTTTAATTAAGGTTTATACATGCTATTGACTGCATTTAAGTCCAATTTTTTATGCCCTTCCTTTGCTAATGTTGCATGAGACGAGTGCACACTACTGGCAGAACCCTTGCAATGTGTTTAAATGGAACGCCCTAAGCCCTTGATCACTTGGAATGGAGCTTATTTACAGTTTCCCCCCTTTTTTTCCTTTTACGCACCAATCTATAGGCCTGTGTGTTACGTGTGGGTTTTTGTTGTGTCTTGTATATCACGTCACGTGATTCCTTGTTTGTCATGTGATCCTGCCATGCGTCTTGTCTTTTGTTTGTTGTTGCTCAGTGTCCACAGGTGTTCCTCGTCTATGTTTATTAGTCTCCCCAGGTGTTTCTTATTAACCACGCCCCCTTGTTATCTTGTTTAGCTTGTTTGTCTGTGTATTTAAACCCCTGTGTTTCAGTTGTTGGTTGTTGTTTAATGTTACTTGGTTCCTGTAGCTATCTCTGTCCTGTTCTGAGTTCCTTGGATTACCTGTTTATGTTATTAAAAAAGCTTGCGATTGGATTCACTCTCCGTTTTGTTCCTGACCGAATGTAACACTGTGTGTATGCTTGGGCTGTTGGAGACAATATAAAAAATTACACAAACGAAAATGATAATCATACAGTAAACTACTCCAATATCATAAACTAGAGTTGTGTGGAGTGGAGAAAATTAAGCACGATTCCTGTGACGTCAAAATCGTGTTGAGTTGTTGTCTATGTATCTGCCTATACATATTGAGTTTACTTGCTCCTTTTGTCAAAATCGAGGGGTCGAGGGGATGTCCAAAATAAACTTCAAAATGTTGGCAGGGATTCCCCCAAGGGGAAGTGCTTAGGGAAGTTTGCACGTGTATGTCTAAAAGTGGAGGTAAATGCAGCCCTAAACAGAGTTCAAGATAAATCTTCTCATTACTACCAGTTTGCCAAGTTTCAAATGATTATTAAACAGAATTACAGCAAGCACAAACTATGCGAAAGCGGCAGCCCTTCCAGCGCACTCAGTGTCTGAATCCGCTCTCTCATTTTCATTCACTCCTTCAAGTGGACTATAATGTAGGAAATAGTGAATGAGCGTATAGGGGATGTTTTTGAACACAGCTCAAGACTGTGAGCATTAATTACAAAATTAAAGACATGAACAGATGAACAAAACGCAATGTTACACATACATGTTGAGTTGATGTCACAGTATGGTATATTTTAAACTATATCCGCATACATACAGTACATTCTCATAAAGCGTTACATGCTATATAGCTAATCTGCTTGATTGCTTGCGTCGTCGCAAAATGTAAACTATATTATCACTCAGCTCCACATTTACATAACACTTATTCATTTAACAGACACTTTTATCCACAATAACTTACAATCAAAGCAATTTATCCAACAAAAGGGCAACAATAGAATAAGTGCTGAGATAATTCTCACTTAGTTTAGCACAGTGCATGCAGCAAGGATTTTTTTAAGGTGAAGGTACAGTAGTGTGTTCGTTTTACTGGGTCAAGTGTTCACGAAAGAGATGTCTTTGGCGGTTTCTTGAAAATGGCTAAAGACACCACTGCTCTGGAGGAAGTAGGTAATTGTAAATCGTGTTCGAATCAATGTATGTTGTGAAAAGCTCTATACAAATAAATTTGACTTGACTTGACTTTTTAAGTGAAAACTAGTCTGCTAACTTCATGTGTTGATACATAACAAGGAGATGCAGATGAGCTGCTAGCAGCTGTGCACATAATTACCATATTGGAGCTGCTGACTGAATAAACTTCCTCTCAGGTTATACATAGAGAGAAAAGGAAATGGCCTGTCTTAGCGAGCTAGCAAACCTATTATTACAACACGACCCATGGCTAACATACATTTCACACATACACTCTTCTCGTATTTACCCTCTACTGCACTTGTCTTCTGGTCAAACAGGCATTGCAAGCCACAGTTACATGTTTAGTGCTGTGTATGACTGGAGCCAGCAAACAACGGTTTTGATCTTGGCTGTGTGCTAACACAGAGCTCAAGTGAATGTCTTGGCGCACAAGAAACAAACATGGACAGCTAAGAAACACACCGATAGAAGCTAAAGATCCATGTCGCAGCTCCCTGCTCTGATAAGGTCATTGAAAGGAGAGAAAAACAATGCTAAATGCAAATAAGAAAAAACAGCTGACAATAAACAACTGGTCAAAAGTTTGGGGTTGGTGAGATTTAAAAAATTGTTTTGTTTTTTAAAGTCTCTTATGCTCACCAAGGCTGCATTTACTTGATAAAAAAATCCAGTAAAAACAGTAATATTGTGAAATATTATTACCAATTAAATTAACTGTTATTTTCTCAAGAATCATTTCTTATTATGATCAAAGTTTAAAACAGTTGAGCTGCTTAATATTTTTCTGGAAACCGACACATTTTTTTCCCAAAATTATTTGATGAATTGAAAGTTCAAAAGAACAGCATTTATTTGAAACAGAAATCTTTTGCAACATTAGAAATATCTTTACTGTCACTTTTGATAAATTTAATGAATTCTTGCTGAATATTTCTTTTAAAAAATCTTACTGACCCATAACTTTTAAATGCAGTATGTAGTTGCAAATTTAGCATGTTCACACTTGGTGTGTTTGGTTCGATTAAAACGAACCCTGGTGCGATTGCTGTTAGTGCAGTTTATTTGAATAAGTGTGAACGCTGCCTGGTGCGCACCAACCATGTTGACCGAGTCCGCTGAAAAGATGGGTCTCGTTCAGTTTCCAAACGAACTCTGGTGCGGTTCGAATGAAATATGAATGTAACACGGACCAAAGACATGCAAACAGACCAAAAACGGGACATGATGATGTCACAAGATGCAACCCTAAAAAGGACAGAATGCTCAAGCATACCAGTTTTTTCTTGTCATAGTCGTGATGTTGCCCGTCACAGTTCGGTTAGCCCAGCACACAGCATTGTTTTGGATGTTCGGTTTGTTGCTGGTGTTAAAGGATGTGCTTCAAACTTTACCGTATATTGGCAAAAAGTATTATTAGATGCCAATGGGAACAGACAGAGGGACATACCCTAATCCTAAAGGGTGCTTTCACACCTGGATCGATTTGTTTTGCTCCGGAACAGATCCGAAACAGAATACTTTGTTCCGAATCAATTTAATACGTCACTCTGTTCACACCACACTTTTGTAAAGCGGTCCAAATCGCGCACCCTTCCAGGGCTTTCCGTACGCCATTACATCACTACCTCATGCGTGCAGGTCGCGCATTCCATTGTGGGACATCGTCATGATAACAGTAGCCTAACACAAAATGAATCGCGGGTTGACTTGGTGGCGGTGCTACGAAGAGGTGAAATGCCTCATAGATATTTGGTCGGAAGACAAGAACACATCTCCCAGATGTTGGACACTACACACAAGAACACCGAAGTGTACAAGAAGATCAGCTATAAAATGAAAGAGAGGGGTTATGAACGGTCCGTCGAGCAGTGCCGCGCAAAGGCGAAAAAACTCCGAGATTGATTTGTTCCGGTTCGTGGGTCGGTTGTGTTCTCACTACAAACGAACCGCTCCAGGGTTCGTGTGGAATCGAGCCGAGACCACCTCTTCTAGGCGGTCTCGGCTCGGTTGTTTTGTTCCGATTCAGAGTGCGATTGTTGTGTTCACATATGACCAAACGAACCGGGCCAAAAGGGAAACGCCCCTTTTATTCGGAACAACGTCTCCAATCGATCCAGGTGTGAAAGCACCCTAACTCTCATGTTGTTCCAACCCCGTTACTCACCCAACAAGGGTGAGTAATTACTGACAGAATTTTCATTTTTGGGTGAACTATCCCTTTAAATTTTATTAAATTTTTTTAATTCTTTTTTTACATTTGTATGTTAAAAGGGTTTACTGAGAAAAACCAGAGGGTCCTGAAGACAAATCGGCAGAATACTCCACATGATGGAGTGCAAACAAATCATAGAGCATTGAGAAGAGAACTGGCATGAGTTGCATCTGCACTCTAAGTTTAGTGGGCTGGATGAAAAAAGTTTGCTAGAGGAGGGTAACACGGGAAACCAAATATCAGTGGCCTCATTTGGCATGCAACTCTGATGTGCAATGTGAAAATCACAGCACCTGCTTCTACTGCTGTGTTTCTCAGGAAGCTTGATGTATTTCATACATTAGGCTGATATGTTGTCAAATGGTCTGGGCATTTTGCACTAGGATGTGACTGAGTGCCAAATAATGTGTGCTCGGTATTAATATAGTATCATGACACTATTATGATTAATATAGTATTAAGTAACTTGACTAAGCAAAATAAATGGGTAATGATGTATTCTTATATTCTTATTTTGGAGCTTTAAATACACCCACATATCCTTAAGTGTCAAAAATATTTTAAGTACTGCATCAGTGGAATAGGTCATATTACAAAATAAACCATACTGTGACATCAGAAAAAACTGATGGGGTTAAAATGATATGTCTTAATTCTCATAAAATAAGCCTGACAACTTTTTATTTAGATGAACCAACATCATTCTGCCTTTATACCCGTCTGATCTCTCTTATTTTATTTATATTTCTCAGCCTGTGTAAATGAGAACAGCCATGCTGCTGTTATTATGTGCTATATCTAGTGTGCTTAGATCCTAAAGATAGCATCCCTGTCTCAGGCTTCCAGTTAAAGAAACTTCATTACAACAGAGCCTACCTAAACCTGATAAACCTGCCTGTGTATAACTTGAAAACCAACTATTTGTTTTTATTACTGAGGCTACATTCAGACTGCAGGTAAATGTGGCCCAAATCAGATTGTTTTGCTCATATATGTGACTGTGCTGGTTTTGTCATGACAGTGTGAACAGCACAAACCACATGGAATCTGATCTTTTCTGTTCTGATTTGGGCCACTTCCATATGTGGTACTAAATCCAAGACAGTTGCAAAAATTAAATATTTATTTAAATATAAAGTTGATCACTTTTTAGCTCAAGCCAAAAAGTGATCAACTTTATATTTAAATAAATATAAAATTTTTGCAACTGTGTTAAATTACAATTAACGTGTAACATGGCAGGCATTTGGATGTACAGTTGTAATCGAAATGTTTCAACCCCCATTGCAAATCAGGTTTATTAGCAAAACTCACTGACTTTCAGCTGTTTGCAATGATGAAATCAAACCAAAGTAATTGAAATAGCTCAACACAGCAAAATGTTTCAAGTGGTTTCCGCAAATTCAACTCCTGCAGTCTCAAAATTAGTCAACCCCCTCATGGCAAACATCTTTAGTACTTAGTAGAACACCTTTTATCCAAAGTGACTTGCATCTTATGCATTTTATCATGTGTGTGACTGTGAAGCCCTTGATCTTGGCATTGTTAGCAGTTGTAGCACCACGGTCTACTACTAGCTACAGGAACGTCTTCTATATCCTGCCAAGCTCATTCTTACCTGTTCTTCTCAGGTGCTGAATCTGTTCCTGGCCCTGCTGCTCAGCTCCTTCAGTGGGGATAACCTGTCTGCAGGTGATGACGATGGTGAGATGAACAACCTTCAGATCGCCATTGGTCGCATCACCAGGGGTATAGATTGGCTCAAAGCCTTCGTCGCCAGTATGGTGGGACAGATTCTAGGAAAGAAACCTCCTGACAATAAGGAGGGAGGAGTGGACGGAGACATAGAACTATATGCTTTAAACCACCTGGATGAGGGAAAAATGGCAGATGGCTTGACCAACTCTTTGTCTCTGACACTGACTGTGCCCATTGCTCGTTTTGAGTCCGATGTTGAAGAGGACTCCGATGAATCTTCTGATGAGGAGGACAGAGAGGTAAGGGGTCAGAACTTAGCAATCAACTCTACCTCACTCTCCTTCCATCAAAATATAGAATAGTGTACACTGTGGTGTGCCATTACTTTTTAAAAAAGCATTAAAGGCACAAATCCTAAATGCTAGATAAGCCTTTACAAGTTATCGTGAAGAAATTATTACAAATTTACTTGCCATGAAAAGTATTGAGTTTTAATGGGTTAGTTCACCCAAAAATGACAATTCTGTCAGTAATTACTCACCCTCATGTTGTTCCAACCCCGTAAGACTTTCGTTCATCTTCGGAACACGATATTTATCAAAGATATTTTTGATGAAATCTGAGAGCTGTATCACTCCTTAATAGGCTGCTAGGTAATTGCATCTGCCGGCCCAGAAAAGTTAGTAAAGACATTGTTAAAATAGTCCAAGTGACTACAGTGGCTCAACCTTAAGTTTATGAAGCGACGAGAATACTTTTTGTGCACAAAACCCCCCAGAAATAACAACTTTATTCAACTATTCATTTTCTTCTGTGTGGGCCTCTGATGTGAGTTCACGAGAGCGCCACGACTTATGTGCGAGAACTGAGAAGATGACGCAGTTGGGTCTCGATTTCGTGTTTAAAATGGTTCTAAAGTGTGCATTTCCTGGATGTCCGAATCGTGATAAACCAACAAGAAAACGTAAAAGTGCCTTACCAATGCCGCAAAATGAATGGCTTACCTTTCACACTTTCCCCTCAAATGATCGTTAGCGTCATCTTCTCAGTTCTCGCGCATGCGTCGTGGCGCTCTCGTGAACTCACATCAGAGGCCCACACTAAAGAAGCAGTGATCCTGCTCTCAGGTTTCATCAAAAATATCTTAATTTGTGTTCCGAAGATGAACGAAAGTCTTACGGGGTTGGAACAACATGAGTGTGAGTAATTAATGACAGAATTTTCATTTTTGGGTGAACTATCCCTTTAAAGGTGTCATCGGATGCCCATTTTCCACACGTTGGTATGATTCTTTAGGGTCTTCATGTAAAGTTTGTAACATACTTTGGTTAAAATTCCTCAATGGTTGAACAACCTTTTTACCTCCTCAAAAACATCTCTGTTCACAGCGACCCGTTTCGATAATGAGCAACTGCTCACCTCATACCTCTCTTCCGTGGGGTGTGTCAAGACACATAAAGAGCTGCCTTGGCAGACAGTATACAAATGGCTGAGGGCGGAGATATGCTAATACGGGACAGTCCGTCAGCGGTCGTAGGCGGACTATGAAAATTCAAACTGCTTTATTATTGAGAGGGTTTAGGCTTTAGGCTCATTGTTTCGCCTGTGTTCTGGTTCATTATTTGTCGTCATGGTTTTTAATTAGTTCTTACCTGTTTCCTGTTCCGTTAATTATCTTCCTCTGTGTATTTAAAGGGATACTCCACCCAAAAATGATCATTACTCCACCCATTCTGTCATCATTTACTCACCCTCAAGTTGTTGCAAACCTGTATGAGTTTCTTTCTTCTGCTGAACACAAAGGAAGATATTTTGAAGAACGATTGGAACCAAACAGTTGTGGGGCACCATTGACTTCCATAGTAGAAAAACAAAATACTATGGGAATCAATGGTGCCAAAGTTCCATTCGTTCTTCAAAATATCTTCCTTTGTGTTCAGCAGAAGAAAGAAACTCATACAGGTTTGCAACAACTTGAGGGTGAGTAAATGATGACATAATTTTCATTTTTGGGTGGAGTATCCCTTTAAGGGGCCGTTTACACAAAACCGTTTTAACTAAAAGCAGAAAACTTTTTATGTGTTTTGGCCGTTCATTTACACAACAACGGTGTTTTGCAGGTCTGAAAATGCTAACTTTTGAAAACGGGTTACAAAACACAAATTTGTGAAAACGGTGACATCATGCGTATTATAGAAACATCAAGGTTTGGTGCTAAAGAAACATTTCTTCTTATTAATGTTAAACACAGTTGTTCTGCTTAACATTTTTGTGGAAACTATGATGTTTTTTTTTCAGGATTCTTTAATTAAAAGAAAGAACAGCATTTATTATAAATAGAAATTGTTTTTAATATTTAATAATTTCATACTGTCTTTTTTGATCAATTTAATGCGCCTTTGCTAAATAGAAGTATTCATTTATTTATTTTCTCTTTTAAAAAAATCGTACTTACCCCAAACTTTTGAATGGCTGTGTATCATGATTTCCCAAAAAATAATAATAAGCAGCTAAAACTGTTCAACGTTGATAATAATAATAAATTATCTTAGAATGATTTCTGAAAGATCATGTGACCTTGAAGACTGAAGTAATGGCTGCAGACATTTTTACATTTTATTACAACAGAAACCTGTTATCAATTTTTTAAGAGAATTTATTAAACAAATACATTTTTTTAATTCATGAGAAATATGCACGTACAATTTAAATATAAGTAATTAAGGCTAAATCTGCAACCCTGTTACCCAGTTTTGTATGTGTTTTTTTTTAATTGTATCATATAAAATGTATTCAACAAATATATTTATTTAATTTAATTTCATGATGTTTATTTAATTTGTATTGCTAGAAATTAAAGCACATCTCACACTGTTCCCTTCAATTTTGTTGTTCGCTCTCTCATTTCTTTACGTCTTTTGCTGCACAGGCCACTCTTAATGATGACGACTCTTCGGTTTGTAGCACAGTGGACTACCGACCTCCAGAACCTGAGCCTGAGCCCGAAGAGGAAGAAGAACCTGAGCCTGAAGAGCCAGAGTCCTGTTTCACAGAGGGTGAGCATGCATGCTTCATTCTTCTCACTTTTTCTTACCAGTACTCATAATGAAATGAATATTAATGTTCAAGGCACCACTTCAAGACTGCAGGTTCTTCATCAAGGTCAAAATGTTTTTCTCTTTTTACCTAGGTTGTGTTAAGCGCTGTACATGTTTGAGTGTAGACGTCACTGAAGGGTGGGGGAAAAAGTGGTGGAACCTGCGAAGAACATGCTTCACCATCGTTGAGCATGACTACTTTGAGACCTTCATCATCTTTATGATCCTCCTTAGCAGTGGAGCACTGGTATGTCTGTCAATGCTTACTGTATTTCTGCACTATAGTTATGTTATTCATACAAAATTAAATCCTTTAAATCCAAGGTGCTAAAATTGACTTTTTGAAATTTAAGTCCTGGAAAACCCTTGAAAACAGCCATAATTATGAAAAGCAATCTCGAAATGCTTGAGTTATTGAAAGACAATGTGAAATTAGTGTTTAATTTTATCGATAAACGAATCTTCTCATGCTAAATTTACGCTGCAGTCCATCTGATATATAGCCAATCGCATGGCTATGAGCATGATATTGCTCATATACATATCCAAGTATATGATACAACTTTTATTCTTCAGGTCAATCATATATTCATGGGGGGGAAAAATCAGTTTGAATAAGGAAAGCAATATATATGTCATAGTATCCTTTCAATGGTTGCTGCAATTTATTTCTACCATTTTGTTGTATTATTATTTTTATCTATTTACCTTTTTTAGAACTTGAAAGATAATAAAGATATTATATTGATAAGCGAGATCTCTGACTGCAGTCCTTGGAAACCAAAAAAGTAGAGTTTGAAAAGTCCTTGAAAGTCCTGGAATTTCATTTCACAGGATCTTTATGAACCTCATTTTATGGAAATGGGAACTTATAAATCCATTAATGCTTGTTTGATGCATCATTGTTTTCATTCTGTCAGGCTTTTGAGGATATCAACATTGAGCGCCGCAGAGTGATCAAGATCATCCTGGAGTATGCTGATAAAGTCTTTACATACGTTTTCATTGTGGAGATGTTACTGAAGTGGGTGGCATACGGTTTCAAGACGTACTTCACTAATGCATGGTGCTGGCTGGACTTCCTCATTGTGGATGTGAGTTTACCTGTAAAATTGGCCTCTTAACCCTTATCAGCAAATACCTGTTGGATGCCAGTTTGTGTGTACTGACTTGCTCACCTGTTGTTTTATTTAAGGTGTCTCTGGTCAGTTTAGCAGCCAATTTAATGGGCTATTCTGAGTTGGGACCAATCAAATCTCTCAGAACACTCAGGGCTCTTCGACCCCTTCGAGCTCTGTCGAGATTTGAGGGAATGAGGGTAAAGAATTACTCTCTTTTCATTTATGTCTATTTGTATGATTCTTCAATTCTGGAATAAATATCTAAACCTTGATTATCCTTTAAAGAGAATTTTGATAGAATACTTTATGTGGTGTAGATTTTTTTTAATGGAGTGGTGGGACGGTTATGACATTTTCTACTTTTTCAGAATTATTTGTTAAACCTTGAGGTGCGTCTCAATCGGCTCCCTAGTTCAGTAGTCAGGACACTGATTAGGGAGTCGGCCATTTTAAGGGCTCAATCGCAAAATTCAAAATTCTCTTCCTAAAAAAGTCCCACAGTGCACCGTGAAAACCAGGGAGCATCGATGCTTACTATAGGTGCATCCCAATTCGTTCTAATGCACTATTCTATGATGTTTTTAAGTATAAATAGTTTGTTCACAGTTCACACTGAAAATCCCAAAAAGAAAATGCACTTTAAATACCCGGAGGATGCACTCAATTAACGGAAAATACGAAGTGTGGAATGTTGGACATTTTATGCAGCAACTTTAATTACGTAGTGGAGGGGGAGGGGCATCAGGCCCCGATGTTGAATTACAAAATAACCTTATAAATTTCACACACTACACAGATGAATATATAGTGTATAAGTACACAGAGTATATGTGCATAGTGTAGAGTGTGTCATTGGGACGCAATTCATGTTCATTTAACTAAGCGCGGAACATAAATCACATGAGCAAACTCACTGTACATATTGCAATGACATGCAATAGATGTTTCGACAAAAACAAACAGTGTTTTAATTATATTTTAGCATAAACATATATCACTAAACAGGTACTGAACATAATCTAGCTAACATTTATAATTCATTTATGGCTGAAATGTTGCAGGTATATGTAACAAAGTATTTATCATAATGTAATTTAAATAACACAAAACAATTCGGGCTGTCAAAATTAACACGATTAACGCAGCATTTTCTTTCCGTCTTTTGCAATTATGTTCTGTTTAGTTGTTCCTGTCATGTCTGTATTAGTTCTCATTAGTTGCTATGGTGTCTGATTAGTTCATCTCTGTCCAGTCGTTCCTGTTTAGTGTCCTTATTTACTGTGTGTATTATTTATACTCCTTGTTCTGTTCAGTCCTCATCGGTTATTGTTTGTGTTGAACGTGAATGTGAATGTTCCTCTGAGTTTGCTAATTAAAGACTGTGTATTCGTCGTACGCTTTCTACAGCCAGGTATCTGTGACACCGTCATCCTTTAGCTAGCATTATATTATATAATCACGGTTATATAAAGACGGTATTGGCGCGTTGTCTGTGAATCTCTTGTCTATGTGACACACACACACGACTAATGCACACAGAAAGCTGCTTCAGACATTGAGTTCTCTTTCACACTTGCCATGTCACCATCAGTGTCCCAATGTGTAGTGAGCCAGAGTCCTTACTGTCCTTGCCAATGACAAATTCATGTACGCGATATACTGATTCATGTAGGGAGCTAGCGAGCTGATTGAGACGCACCCTCGGACTTGCTAACACAACAAGTTTGCAAGCAACAATCAATTAAATGTTTGGTGTGATGGTAATGAAAGCAGGATTGGAAACAGTGATTCTATGTTATACAAATTGTCCACATGAATACCAACTGAATGGAAATATGATTCTTTTGAAAATCCTTAAGAAATCCTCGAAATTTTCTGATTTTGACACAAAAAAGGGGAAGTTGAAAATTCAAAAATAGAGAAACCTTACCCTTACCCTTACCCATACCTAACCCATACTGTATTTAAGGTTTCAACACTTGAAGGAAAAGGTAATTAAAGTAATTTAAGGTAATTAAAAAAATTATGTAAAGCACGATTTGACAGAATTTGAAGCATTTCTTATTTTAATCATCCTAAGGGGCAGAACATTTCCTCTAAGAACAACTCCAAAGTTAACATAAAAATACTAATTCCATTAAAGTAATATTTATATAAATATTGATTACTCATTTGTCTCTAAATCATGATTGTCTTCACACTCCATACAGGTGGTGGTGAACGCACTGGTTGGGGCAATTCCCTCCATTTTTAATGTGCTCCTGGTGTGTCTGATATTCTGGCTCATCTTCAGCATTATGGGAGTCAATCTGTTTGCTGGAAAGTTCTACCACTGCATCAACACCACCACAGAGGAACGCTTTCCCATGGATGTGGTCAACAACAGGAGTGACTGCATGGCACTGATGCACACCAATGAGGCGCGCTGGGTTAATGTCAAGGTCAACTATGACAACGTGGGTCTTGGCTACCTCTCTCTACTGCAAATTGTAAGTTTTGCCATTACTTGCAGAGTTCAGTCTATTATACAGCCATAAACAGCCATACCTCTATCATGAGGAATCATATTTTGCTTGATCTTTTGAGGGGGAAAAAGGCTTGATATAGGCTACTATTTGAAAAAAACAACAGAAATTCAGAACTCAAAAGAGTAACATTGAGAAAAAGAAAAAAAAAACTTTCATAACTTTGTGACATTAGAAAAATAAATGCATCAGTTAAAGCATATTTACAGACTGTGAATATATTTTCATGTCCTTTTCTTTTTTTGCATCAGAGGACACAGAGGTAATTCATTACAAATCCATAATGAATCAATGCGTTTAACTTGACATGCTGATATTCAGAAAATACTCTCTCCACATAGGCCACATTCAAAGGCTGGATGGATATCATGTATGCTGCAGTGGATTCTAGAGAGGTATGTGAACGACGGGCTTTCCACCTGGAACATTTACAATGCTCAGCTGCAACAAAGCAATATTAAATGCGGTATGCATATAATGTAGTGTGAGTTGTGAGCTTGTGAATTGACAATAAATAGCCAACACAACTTTCTGTTATGTTGTCCTCGCTGATTAAAAAGACGAACAGTGCAATGTGCTGTCTAATTCATGGACAAATTTCTTGGTTGGAGTGAAACAAATAGAAATAGTTCATATAAATAATGAAAATTGCGCCATTATATACTCGCCCTCATGTCTTTCCAACTCTGTATGCTGTTAAAAAGGACGAAAATGCATTATGCAAGAACCATAAAAGTAGTCAACTTGCACTATAGTGTAAGTGTTCTGAAGCCATTCAATAGCTGTGTGTAACGAACCAACAAACATTTAACTCTTTCCCTGCCAGAGTTTTTAAAAAATGTTGCCAGCCAGCGCCAGCATTTTTTATCCTTTTCACAAAACTTTTATGGCCCCCAGATTATTTTGTTGTAGGAATATCTAAACATGCAATATCAGAACAGAGCCTCTGCTAAAAAAAAGAGTTTATATTCTAGCTTAATGCATTCTTTTTTTTATCAACACTTGAATGTGGATAAGTTTCATTAAAAAAAAGCAACATTTTGAGCAAAAAGCTGAGAAAATCGTTCTTTTGTCAAAGACTACGTCTGGATCGGATTCGGGACGATGATCAAAACTTAGATGGAGTAGATCTAGTAGTCCATCAACACCCCAAGGTGTTGATTGACAGTCCTGGGTCGACATTTCTTTCGGTAACGTTAGGCAATTTCGATTTTAATGCTGTTTAATGATGATATTTTACACATGCATCTGCTTACATATGCTATCGCTTGTTTCTGCTTCTTTTTCGCCTTTGTTTTGATCCGGAGATTCTGTACTTTTTCAGAAGATGTGTCATAGCGCCCCCTACCGTATAACAGTGAAAACACGGAAAGCCGGAAAATTCCGTCAATGGCGGGAAGTGTTGTCTCATAAATGACGGACAATTCGGTCAATGTCGGGGAAAGAGTTAAGTCATTCTTCTCCGCCAGTGCAAATCTCAAATCATATATGGTGCATATGGCACAGGTTGGACGTCAATAACATTATGCATTGTTGGTTCTCGTTACCAAACGTCATGACGTCAAAGTTGTGGCATTGATTTGAGTTATGTAGCGAAGGTTAAGAATAATAAAGTAAATAATGACTTTAAAATGACACTTTTATCGGAGCATTCATTATTTCTTTTCCATGTCAGGTGGAAGAGCAGCCATCATATGAGATCAACCTTTACATGTACCTATATTTTGTTATTTTCATCATTTTTGGCTCCTTTTTCACTCTCAACCTCTTCATTGGTGTCATCATTGACAACTTTAATCAGCAAAAGTCAAAGATAAGTATCACTTTTTTTAACTAACCTCCAAATTAATGTGTGTTGCACGTTTGAATTGTTCTTTATCAGAAAGAATAATTTATATTTGTTTCTTCTGCACTTTGGAGGGGAAGACCTTTTCATGACAGAGGAACAGAAAAAGTACTACAATGCCATGAAGAAATTGGGTTCCAAAAAACCTGCAAAACCTATCCCTCGGCCTTCGGTATGAACCGTTTTACTTACATTCAATCTTCCATTGCTGTTTTTTTTACCATTAAAACTAAATGACTGTCAAACATTTTTTTTAAATATCAGCATTAAATCTCTTTAAAAAGTTTTTAAAAACTAATCTACTATATTGCTCTTCTAACAGAATATTATCCAGGGTGTGGTGTTTGACTTCATCTCAAAACAGTTCTTTGACATCTTTATCATGGTGCTTATCTGCCTCAATATGGTGACCATGATGATAGAGACAGATGACCAGAGTACTGAGAAAGAGGATATCCTATACCTGATCAATTTGGTGTTCATCATCATCTTCTCAGGGGAATGCGTACTTAAGATGTTTGCGCTCAGACAGTACTTCTTCACTATTGGCTGGAATGTCTTTGATTTTGTTGTGGTCATCCTTTCTGTAGCAGGTAAGTGTAGAACAACCCAGGCTCGTTGGAAAAACATGCTTGTGGCAACATTCCTGCAAAATAACATTATCTTGCTTCTTGCACATTTCGCAGCACGTTCGAAGTGAAATTTCAACCAAGTGGCGCTAAGACCACGTTCAGTTTTATACAAAATAGATGAACGTGAATCTGGAAATTTTTTATTACGTTGGTTGTTGCACGTTTTCTGAAATAAAATGTCTAGTTAGTGGCGCTAAAACGTTAATGATCTATCATGTTTGAAAATAATGTAGCATCTTCACTAAATGTACCCTAAACCTAACCAATAGTGTGAGCAAAAGCAAACGGGACAAATACTTATTGTCTGACTTAACCAAGCCATTTTAACTTGTTCCTACATGTCTTTGAGCTCTTTTATTGTATCTCATGTTTCATGGGACTTGTACCAGGTGAGCTACATATGGAGCTAGTTATGTGATGCAAGTGTCAAAATCGATAAGTGTACAAATCATGCACTATGGAAAGTGTTTTGAGGTCTTAACATAGTATTGCGCAAGGAACCGCGTGAAAATTCTATGGCCGTGTGTCCACCAAAGCGTTTTTCCACGCGCCTGGCGTATGTTTTCAATGGGAGCGCCGCGTTTTTTAAACGCCATGAGCGTAATGAGGCGCTGAGCGGTTTTTTCACGCTGAAGCGCCGAGCGCCCGGCGTTTTTTACTGGTCGCCGAGACCAGTAAATGTTCAACTTTGGATAAAAAACGCAGCACTCATCACTGTCACTTTTTACCCAGCCGTCCAATCACAGTGGAGGAGGGGCGGGACTAATACCACACCGACCAACTGTCACAACATTCTTTCTGTACAACGACATCGACATCAACCAGCAGAGCTATCCGAACAAAATGGATGAAAAAATAGTATGAAACAAATTATCTGCGAAATCAGTTACAAGTAAACTGTGCTGCGGATATTCTGTATCATAGCAACGAAACGTCTCAAAGGAAAAAATGCTGCGCTGCCAAAACGCTCTCACGCGCCCACAGCTAGGCGTCTTCAGCAGAGCGTCTAGCATTTACAGCTGCCTAAAAACGCTTTGGTGGACACTCGGCCTATTAATCGATAATCTGCTCCGTAATCACAATTTGTGTGAACAGGAATACATTTGCGCATGTGAACGCCATCAGGTCACAGGTTCGCGTTTAAAATCTGTTTAGAGAGAACGCCGTCGTCTTAGTGGCCCCTAATTTGATAACAAATGATAATTTTGCTGGAAGTAAATCAATCAAAACTAACTTTAGCTGGAAATAACCTTATTCAAAAATCGCTATAAAGCCAAAACAATCTCAGTTACCGTAAATTGTATGTTTATCTCTGTAAAGCTGCTTTGAAACAATCTACATTGTTAAAAGCGCTATATAAATGAAGATGACTTGACTTGACTTGTTGGTGTTCTACTGCCACTGTTGTTTGTTTCAGCTAAAACTTGCATTTAGATGTATGTATACTGTAGCTATTTGTATTTTTGGAGTTCTGCAAAAGTGTAGAATTCTAGTTATTGAACATCATGCCATTATAGTTTGTTGCTGAGGTTTTTTCATATAGAATATCTAAGCATTGATCATACTGATTTTAATAAACTAGATACTAACCATTCTATAAGTGCTCCTATGTGTATACTTTCCTACTGTAACTGCGCTAAATTGTTTATAATAACCCATATTTCTTCTTTCCCAAGGTCTGATGTTATCGGACATCATTGAGAAGTACTTTGTGTCTCCCACCTTGTTCCGTGTCATCCGACTTGCTAGGATCGGCCGTGTGCTTCGTCTCATCAGAGGTGCGAAAGGCATTAGGACTCTTTTGTTTGCCTTGATGATGTCACTTCCTGCCCTCTTCAACATTGGACTGCTTCTGTTCCTCATCATGTTCATCTTCTCAATTTTTGGCATGTCTAACTTTGCCTATGTGAAAAAGCAGGCAGGCATCGATGACATCTTCAACTTTGAAACATTTGGCGGTAGCATCATCTGTCTGTTTGAGATCACAACCTCGGCAGGCTGGGATGGGCTTCTGCTGCCTATTATGAACAGCGGCCCTCCAGATTGTGACCCTGACATAGAGAACCCCGGTACAGACGTTCGGGGTAACTGCGGGAATCCTGGCATGGGAATCATGTTTTTCTGCAGTTACATAATCATGTCGTTCCTGGTGGTTGTGAACATGTACATTGCTATCATTCTTGAGAACTTCAATGTTGCTCAAGAGGAGAGTGGAGACCCACTCTGCGAGGATGACTTTACGATGTTCGACGAGACATGGGAAAAGTTTGACGTTGATGCTACACAGTTCATCGAATACAACCGCTTGTTTGACTTTGTCGATGTCTTGCAGGAACCTCTGCGAATTGCCAAACCCAACCGCCTCAAACTAATCACCATGGATCTGCCCATTGTAACCGGAGACAAAATCCACTGTCTGGATATTCTTCTGGCAGTTACCCGCGAGGTTCTTGGTGACACCATCGAGATGGATGCCATGAAGGAGAGCATTGAAGCCAAGTTCATAATGAACAACCCCACATCTGCCTCATTTGAGCCAATCACCACCACTCTCAGGAGGAAGGAGGAAGAGCGAGCAGCCATTGCAGTTCAACGAACATACCGTAGACATCTCCTCAAACGTGCTATCCGACATGCCTGCTTTATGCGTCGCTCAAAGAGAAAAGTTAGTAGTCAGGGCGACGAAGAACCTCCTGAAACCCAAGGGCTAATTGAAAGGAAAATGGATGCCTTGTATGGTAGCAACCCAGAACTTGCCATGGCTCTTGAGTTGCAGGCTAGGCCTATGCCGTCTAATGGACAGCCACCTGAGCCCACCTCGGTCCCGCAGCATAGAGCATCAGTGACCTACCCTCGGCCGCAGGGACAACTCATAATCCCAGTGGAGTTCACAAGGGAGGTGATCCTCCGATCTGCACCCACAACGCATGGCCTGTGCAGTTCAGAGAATGCAACATTAAAAGAGTCAATAGTATAACTGGCAGCCAATGTCTTTGGAGTATGGACTTAGATAATCCTTGGGTGTAAAATCGAGAATCACCTGCACGCACTGAACAACAGATGCTCCAAAAACAAGTCGTCGGCTTAGAGGATTATACAGAACTGCTATGGTGTGACATTGGAATGCCATTTATTGGGAGTACTGTTTTTTTTATTATTCATTTTTTTATCTTATTTGTTCCCAATTGGAAATGTCCCAGTATATGTCAGTACTTATCCAAGTTGTTTTGCCCTTGTATTCATTTACAGTTGAGCAGTTAGAGCCATTTTCACATTTTATGATTTTTTATTAACAAAGTTCGTGAGGAACACATTCAAATTGCCTATCTAATCAGTACGAGAGGAGGCGCATATATATACATAGCCGACTCACCTATGTTCCTATGTTCCCTCCATCCCTCCACCACCCTGTCTCCTCACACTTGCCTGGTTACTATCCTAACCAGAGATACAGGGGTACTCTGGGTTCGGGCCAAAATTCGAGCTCGGAGCCATGCACTCGGACAGCACGCCAAATACACATACTTTTTACTCTATCTGATTATTTGTAAGTGTGAACTTGTGAATCCTGTTATTGTGCCACAAAGTGGACAAGCACCGCAATTTTTTCGTTTGATGCCGATTGAGCCCATACACATATGTACCAGGTTTGGTTACAATATCTCCTTCCATTCAATAGTTATAGGCCCTGTCTTACATGGAGCCCTAAGCCCTCTCGATCTTCCTCCGAGTCCACACTTACGTAATGTCGCTTCGCTTTGACTGTTGGATAGAAGTCTGCTGTAGAGCTCATGGACTCAGCAAAAGTCCATATCGAGGGCGCATATCGGCAGCAAAGGGGGCGCCCACGAGCACCCTTCTGAAACCTAAAATGACAAATGGGACACCCTACAGTGTTATGGACTTAACAGATACGTGGACACGCAGCAGCCATTGTAAGTCCACAAGACTGCAAGTGTATATGAAGTCTGCCATGCATTTGGGACAGGGCCATAGTCATTTAAGTAAAAGTGGCCACACCCACATCGAACAAATTTGAATCTTTCTGCACTGGTTTAGTTCCTATTGGACGAAAAACCTAGGACTAGTTTGCAAAAGTAGGTTTTCTACCATGAAATTCTACCATGCCTGTAAAGTAAATACAATTTATTTGGTTTTCATGTACTTAATGAGACCTTATTTAGTTTATTATTTAGACATTATTTAAGTAACCAAAAGTAACCCCATCCATTAAACTGTAATTTAACACACAGGCAAGCCTGGATGCCAGCCCGAACCCCGCCCACAACATTTTTTGGTCGGGAAGTTCGGTCTGGACTCGATCTATTGAGGAGTAATTATGATCGGTTCAGAAATCGTCGGGCCAATCAAATTGCCAGGGCGGGCTTTATACGATGATGGACAGATGATCTGCAGTTACGTAATCATCACGTTATCAAAGAGCGCTTGGGTTGAACTGGTTTCCCTCAGCGATGACTGCTGCGGGAGAACTGAGATGTAGAGATTCCGCTATCGCGTCTGTTGTAAAAGAAATCGACAGCGCATTCATTTTAAAAGACGAACAGAGAACTGCAATCAAGGCATTTGTCGATCGGAAAGATGTGTTTGCCGTCCTTCCTACGGGACTCGGCTAAAGTTTAATTTATCAGCTGGCTCCGATGGTCGCTAAGAAGATGGGACGCAATGAAAACCCTGTGGTCGTTGTGGTTTCTCCTTTGGTCACACTCATGGTGGACCAAGTAAAAGAAGCAACACTCATTATTTTACTACTTCTTCCAGCGTGCGTGCAGTTGAGTTCTGTTGACAACTATGCGTAGCTCAGCGTTGCTCTGATTGGTTGTAGGTCTATCCAAAAGTGCAGAGTTGTTGTTTTTTTCCTGGTTCGGTTAAGACACGCCTCATAATCAAAGCCCTATGGGAGCAGTATCAGACTCACATTCTGACTAGAATATGAGTATGACGAAGTCAAGCTACAAACAGGCATCATCTTCACTAAAATGTCCCATTTGATTTGAGTGTCATACTGTCATCATAAATTGATAGCTAAGTTGTGAACATTTAAGTTACATCAGATTCTTTTTCTCTGTCCAGATTAAATGAAATCCCTTCATTACAAAAAGAGCCTGAAATGTCCTGTAGATGCCACATGCAATTCTTACCTAATTTATCTTTAACTGAAATTCATATTTGTTACTGGAGATATGGTTGTGATGTTTACACACCTTCTTTAAATTCCTTTCATCCAATTTAAAGTATGTCATTTTAAAACCCTATCAAGTGAATTCTCCCTCAAGTACACTGAGTGTTTTAGTACTTGTGAGTTGTAGCGAAAAGTTCTATGTATTAGAGACATTTATGATTGATTTCCTCTGAAGTCTTAAAGTGATTGCAAATGTCTTATTTCTTAAAATGTATAAATTAAGCACTTTTGAGACATTTATATTTACCTCTTGTATAGTTTTTAGATTTGGTCTCTTATTACCAAAAAGCATTAACACTTATGTTATCTCTCGTATGTTGATTTACTGTACATGTTTAAATGAGAATGAATTTTGGTGAGAAAAAAAAATCTCATGGAGCTTGTGTGCAGTTTTGTGCACTTTTTGGTTTCATATTGATATTGTTAATATGCAAATAATTTTCTATTGTTTACATTTTTATCAAGCAGAGAGACATTGCAGTGCTTTAGGTTTTGCTCGCCTCTAATTGCCTGTATATACATTTTGCAGATAGAAGCAAACTTCTCGGATGCTGTCTTTTCTTTGTATCATAACTTAACTTAACAAACATTTAATTCAATGTGCATTTAAAATGTTCTTAGAATAAATTTGATAAGATAAACATGGGTCTCTTCATGCTTTAAAGTTTTGAATTGCAGTCTCAGATTGCAGTTCTGCAATATCACAGTTCATCTCATGTCAAGATGTTGTGGCGTTTGCAGTCTTAGCATGCTATCATGTGTTGTTTATGGATATGTTTTCCCAGAGGTGTTTATCAAGCCCATTTTTCCATTGGACTTGTGCTCTATATGACTTTTTCTGTGTGTCACAGTGGCCCCTGAACAGATAGCTGTTCTTATTTCACACCTTCTATTTTTACACCCAGCTAGAGATGTCTTCACCTCAGGTAACCAGTCTTAATAAGTTTGGAATCCAGTGGTCAACATTGGCATTTGTGTTATGGGGATTTAATATGCAACGTACATTTTTTACATTTTTAAACTAGTCATGAAATCGAAATTGACATATCTTATTTTATAATGGATCTTCTGATGGCTACTTCTAACAGGATAACGTGACCATGTCACAAAACTTAAATCATGTCAGACTGGTTTCTCTAACAGGACATTGTAACCATACTCAAATGGCCTCCACAGTCTCCAGATCTCAATTCAATAGAGCAGCTTTGGGATGTGGTGGAACAGGAGATTCACATCATGGATGAGCAACCGACAAATCTGCAGCAACTGTGTGATGCTATCATGACAATGTGGCCGGTGAGTGTACGTTACACTCTTAGAAAAATGGTGCAAAAGCTGTCACTGGGACGTACCCTTTAAAAATGTTCTAATATGTAGCCTACCATTTAGGTACTAACACATGTACACTTTTGGTAGCAGTATATACCTTTAAGGTACTAATATGCAGTTTTTAGGTACAACAGTACACCTTTTGAAAGGGTGCCGCCCCAGTGACAGCTTTTGTACCTTTTTTCTGAGAGTGATAGGGAAGAAAAGCCTATCGCAACTTCCCTCATGCCGACTTTAATATAATTTAACTTTCACAAACATATTTACTGATAGTGGGAGAAAGAACAATTATAAACTGAGGTGGATGTTCTGAATGCTGACCTATATTTCTGTTCAGTGTTTAGAAATGCTTAAAAGATTTTTTTGGACAAATAACTTTTATAAAAATGTTATGGTTCTTAGGACAACTTTAAGTGAAAGTCATGAAATTGTTCCCACAGCATCTGAGTCAATCAGAAAGTGAGGCAGTGAAGTGTGTTTCGTGTGTCTGGGTTTTAGCAGACAGTTTCTAAATCATTACACATATATCAGTGGTAAAGTATACCTTTTTTTTTTTTTTTTTACATCCCTGTGTCTCAGGCTGTACATGGCCAGTCCATCACAGGGCTTACCTCATTTTTCTAAAACATTCAAATGATTTTAGTTATTTTTCCACTGTCATTTTGATTCTCAAATATTTCACATCGGCTGTCACACTTTTCAGACCACACCCCAAAATGACTACAATATAGTGGTTTTCATTTTGCATAATATTAATGGAATGGTATATTTTGAGTTTTGAATTTTAGGATATTTCTGATTGGCCATTGGTCTAGTTTTAGTTACACATATACCAGAGGCCTGTACCATGATGGTAGTTGAACAAACTCAGGGTTACAGGATTAGTTTTAGAGTTGACTAACCCAAACCAATCTAATCAGGCTCTGTTGGTACCATGATGCTGATATTCAACTTTCTCTGTAAGCTTTAAACCTAAGTTCTCGGAGAGCGTGCACATGAAGCTGAGACATCAGCAGCAAACAGCCAATCACATGCCTTGAAACATGCAAAACTGCCATTCACTCGCGTGAGAGTCAGTGCGATTCAATTCTCTCTTCTGCCAAAGATTAAAAGATTGAAGAATATGAAGTATATAAATGTATTCACACAGCAAAAAGAAAATATCTTGCTATATCAGTGAAAGCTGTGAAGTTAGGCCTATAGGTAAAGAAATGTTTGAATATGTAAGCTTACATGTATTCATTTTTAAAGCTTTATCTATTGATTCTAAAGCGTTTTTATATTACATATCTTTTGTATATACTGTATTTATATAGGCCTAAATTTAAATGAAATGCATAATAATAATTGTCAGGCTAAAATTGCCCATATGTAATAGATTAAGCAAATAATAATTATAATCTATAAACCATGTAAAATAATTATAATAAATAGACGATTTTGTCTTAAAGATCTGTTACTATGTAGTGACCTTTAATTTGGAGCAAGAGAAACTTTAGTTTGGAGGGACTTTATTGCATCAGAGTCACTTTGTGTCACTTTGCTCTCAGCTGATTGGCTCCATTTGAGTTTGAGATCTCTTACCCAGAACAAAACCTGCCCTGGAGCAGGCTAGCCGTGGAGCGTAAGCCACTTTCATGGTACCTAAAACCCACTCTGAATGCACTGGTTCATCTCATTTAATCACATATTTCATAATACTTGTTTGCCTAATCTTAGACTAAAATGCATGTTTGATCTTGATTTAATTGAAAGCAACTTGCACTGACATTTCTTAAAATACGTCAGTGCCATTGATTTGTCTCAAGATGCTCACCAGTAATGTGTGTGTTTTTTTTCTCAGGCACAAAAAAAGCAACTTAAATGTCCTAATTTAACTAAGACCTAATCCTGGCTTAATCTAAACCCTGTTTGTGAAACCGGGACGTTAAGTTTTATTTTTGTACCATTGATTATTTTCACATCTGAGTTTTTTGAGAAGGAACACCGCTTCCCGTGCCTCCTCTAACAGTTCTGACTTTGACTGATAATAGAGCTGGTAAGTCCCGCCCCTTCCGCTTACCCCGCTGGACCTCTAGGTTGAAAAATCGTCAATGCAAGTGAATGAGAGAAAATAATTATATTCTAATCCCGTTTGAATTTTGCAATGAATGTGAACATATGTTGTCTGTGAATTGTTTATATTATTTTTCGTGTAAAGAATGCTACAATTTAGCGGGTAGAATTTTCATACGGTTAGAGTTTGTGTGAGAGCACTTTGTGGACTACAACTCTTCGCTGCTTTCGACGCGTTTGATATACGTCACCAATACTAGCACACGGATCCCGCTAAACATGCCTTTGTTTGAATGGTGACATTTGACTACAAAACACACAGGCATCTCGATGTAATTCCTTAGATTATCGCTTTTTTAACCTAGAGGTCCACTTGGAGTTTTACGGATGGGACGGACTTACCAAGTCTATTGAGTCTGTGTATGTGTGTGTGTGTGTGGTTACAGCTGTATTGACTGCAGTACAATTCACACAGCTCAACGACTGCTGCTATCTCCACCCACTGTGTTGGACTGCACCGCAGATGCGCATGGAAAGCACCAACTTATGCATGTAAATTAAAGACACGTATGGGACACAACACAATTCAGCATGGCAACACTCAGCAAAGTCAAACAAAAAACATCAGCAACAGTAAAAACTCAAAATTAAGATTATAGACCATGGATGTGCAATCCTGCTGCTGGAGGACAAGTCTAGCTCCAACACACCTGCCTGGAAGCTTCCAGTGATCGGGGTTGAGATGTGTTTAATTAGGGCTGGAGCTAAACTCTGCTGGAAGGTGTCTCTCCAGGAACAGGATTGAACACCCCTGTAATGGACTGTAGGTGCATTCACGCCATGTCGGAGTACCACAATTAGGAGATTCACGTCCTAGAAGAACTCGTAATTACAACTTTTCAGAGAATTAAGACTGCGGGCAGTCGTGGCCTAATGGTTAGAGACTTGAACCCGAAGGTTGCGGGTTTGATTCTCAATACCGGCAGGAAATGACTGAGTAACCCACAATTGTGTCCAGTTTGCAGTGTGTGTGTGTGTTCACTACTCACTACTGTGTGGGCACTAACTTGGATGGGTTAAATGCAGAGAACAAATTCAGAGTATGGGTTACCATACTTGGTCTTCACATGTCACTTTCACTTGTACCACCTGACCGCAGATTAATTTTGCCATTGATAGTGTTGACATAGAAACACATAATATCCAACGCATTCTCATCCTTTGGCGTCATATAGGTGACGCCATATGACATTTCGTCGAAATCTTACGCACATGCCATCCTTTAGCGTCAATATAACACGCACTGTTATGGGTAGGTTTAGGTCTGGGGTAGGGTACGGTTATGACGCCTTGGGATCTGCGTCTCATATTCACGCTAAACGATGCCATGTGCGTAAGATTTCGACGAAATGTACAAAGCGTCACGTATGACGCCAAAGGATGAGAACGGGCTGTAATATCCTGAGAACAGCTCAGATTAGAATGTCATAAGTATGGGAACTACGAGTTCGCTACGGGTTGTGAACACAGCGTATATAGAGGTGCGTTCATGCCATGTCGTAATTACAGTTACGAACTGTAAAAAGCCTTCACGTGCTTGTAGAACTTACAACATAAACTCTTAATTTTCTGAGAGCTACGACTTGTACCACATGACCGCTGTGCCACCTAACCACTGCAGATTTAGGTGTGTGCAAATTAAAGAGGCGCTGTGCAGACCGACCGATCGGTGTCTGAGAGCGATTCTGAGCTTTATTACGGTAATTACATTAACTCAATGTTAACACTTTACTTTTAAAGTATTTACTTTTTTTTCAGATTTACTTTTAATTTTCACATACTTGTTGCTTTTAACAGCTATTGTTTGCAGCCATTAGGCTGATTCTTCTTTATAATCACATCAGTATTGCAGAAGGTAATATAACAGGGCTTTTGCATTTAACTATTTCTGAGTGTATTCATATTACAATGGCTAATTTCTTTAAAGACAAGTCCCAAAAAATACAGTCCATTGTAGAGCATGTATACATTTCTACATTTACAACGATAGCTTGTAAAATACGCACTGATGTCTATGGAAGCGGCAATAATAATCCTTTCGTAATTTGTTGATGTGTTTTATTGATATCACACATTGATATCATATCCCATTACAAATATCTAAAAAGAAAATCTTAAATCAAGAAATTCCTGCCAGCGAGTTCAGAAAATGAAACTTAATTTAAAAGGAAAACAATAATATTTGTCTTAGCTCACTGGCAGATGTTTCTTTATGTAAGCTCTTAAATTTAACTTAAGTCTTGTTTAATGAAATATTCATCAAAAATAAGTCATTTTACTTCTTAAGTAGAAGTATCTTGATTTAAGAATGTTTAGATATATGTACTGGTCTGAAAAACAAGACAAAAAAAATCTAAAAAACATTTTCTACCAGGACATGATCTGTTTTTCTGCAGATTTGTATCTTACAGTGCAGTGATGCATGCAGTTGACATTTTCATTTGTATGTTGTTTAGTCATCTTTGAACATAAACGGTAAAGTATCATTCTTAATGTAATTTGCATCAAGATGATTCACTTGCTCCTTAACATTTTGATGCATGGGTGTATGGATTTGCATGTTTCTTCTCAGAAACGGAATTGTATCATCACAGCTTCGTGACCCGCACCCTTCAGCTGGCTTCCTTCAGTTCTGTCTATCTGATCTGTACTGACTTGTACATTTTATTTGGAGAGGTGTATTTCAAGACCAAGAATCATGCATTCCTTCCTGCTGGGATGTTCAGTCATGGCGCTGATTTACCTCTCAGGTAGATGGCTGTTTTATACATTTAAAAACTGCTTTTTGGTTTGAGTTTTAAACATGGTACTCTCTGAAATGCCACATTTTGATGAACTTTTTAAGATATGGAAGGAATTATTTAAGACAGCAGTTCTTTACAACTGATTTTGTTTTACATTTAAAAGTTGCAGGATTACATTTTGCATATTACAGTTGCCCTAGACTTGTTTTCAGTGTTGTTCTTCCTTCCCATCTGTGAGTGAAAGAGGAAGTCCCACCGCTTCAAAACAAGTTTGCATTTGCCACCTTAAAAATAAACAGTTGTAATGTGGTAGGCACATACTGTTAAGTGTCTTAGATAATGCCAAGCATGTTTCATGGTTTTACTTCTGCTGATAACTTGCAGCAAATGGCCATTGCAATATTAAACCGGTTTTGTCTTATATATTTTCTCTCTGTCCATTTCATAATTTCAGCTGAAGCAATCAATATCCATGTGTTCCAGAAGCCACGATTTCTTGGCGTTAAGACAGGTCGGTCTGTGATCATATACTGCGTGTCGTCTCATTCATCTTTGCCGGCTCATGTAGTGTGGTTTAAAGAAGGGGCTGACAAAGTCACGCTCAAGAACAGCCAAAGAATAAATATAAAGGAGAAGAGTGAAACAACAAATGCCTCTATTGCCATAAAGAAAGTGGAGATGGAGGACAGCGGCGTTTATTTTTGCAAGCTGAATGATACGCTTGGACCAGGAACTGCGCTACAAGTGTCCAGTAGGTGATGATTTGATGTTAAAGTCATTCATTCACTTTCTTTCTTCGCTAGCCTGTTTACCATTGTATTTCTTTGTTTCTTCCACAGGATATAGTGAGCCCCAAGCTATCTTGCACAGATCTAGAGTCAAGGATGTTATCATTTTCCTTCAGGCTTTTCTGTTGATTTTGTGCATTGTCGTTCCTCTGGTTCAGTTTTACAAGCTGGTAAGGGCCACAAACGTTCTCTATTACTATGTGAACTTGTGTGAGGTATCCATTACTGTTTGGTCACACTTTATTTCGAAAGTCCACTTTAGACATTCTACTAACTATAAGTAACTTTGCAACTACATGTCAACTGACTCTCATTAGAGTATTAGACAGTTTGGTTTAGTAGAATAAGTTGACACGCAGTTGCAAAGTTAATATAGTCAGTGGAAAATTGGTTGAGGAGCATCAAAATAAAGTGTTAGTGGATATTAAACAGGCAGTCGACTAATCCTCTCATGACTGCTAGTTACTTCTAGTTAGTTGAATATCTAAAGTGGACCATCGAAATTATTTTAACCAACTTTAATTCAGTTATCAATAAGCATTAACAGCAGTTTCTCATTGTGTTTGGTTTCAGGAGAAGAAAGAAGAAGCGGATTATGAAGAACCTGAGGATGATCACATATATGAGGTGAGGGTTTTGGTTCATTCGGTTAGCTTGTTACTGTCATGTGTTGCTTTACGGTTGGTTGAGTTTTAAGCTCAGAGTTCTGCAACTATTGTTGCATGCACTACAGGAAGTGAAAACACACATGGTCTGTTGTGATAGACAATGCATGAAATTATACTTGTGATGTACAATGCGATTTCATAAAGAAAATAGGAACATTTCTAAACTTTTCAAGTTCCGGTCCTCGAATTTGATTGGCCGAGAGCCGTTCCATGAGTTCAGTTGGTCTGTGTCAGTTTGCACTGCAAAAAATAATTTGCTTTGTATTTTTGACTTGTTTTGCAATACAAATTCTAGGGATGCACGATATATCGGCCGATATTTGTTCATTTTTAATGTTATCGTTATCAGCTCGATAAGAAAATTTGGCCGATATATTAAAGCAGATAAATGTATTTCCTTCAGCTGAGACCCTTCAGATGTGCACTGTTCGCATTGATGGTTTTGAATTGCTTGAAATATGATTGAAATCACTTCAAAAAGGAAAATACAGTAAAGTGCAACATGTGCAGCGCAAGTCTGTCATATAGGCTACATAACAATATAATGAGAACATTATAATTGTGTGCTTGGTACAAGGCTTTTAATGGTGAGACTTTTTTTTGTAATCAGGCTCTCAAAAATTATATAAAAATATGGATTTACATTTATTGGTCAATGTATCGGTTATCGGCTTTCAAATATAAAGTTATCGGTATCGACCAAAGTTGTCATGTTGGTGCATCCCTAACCAATATAGTAACTTTACACATTCTGTTGACTCTAAATAACCATTAAAGTGACAAGCACGCGCTTTATAAAAAGACAGATATCGTCCGCTGGTGTGGATACTAAAATAGTTATCTTTATATTTATTGTCCTTGGTGTGAACGGCCCTTAAGTAACTTTGAAATTACATGTCAGCTGATTCTACTAATCCAAACCTTAACACCTAACCCTAACTTAAAGGTGAACTAAGTAACTTTTTTACCTTAACCGAACAGCTTTGGAGTCATTGTAATGTTTATATTACTGATTTCGTGTTGAATGGTGGTCGTCTCGCACCCCCCTGGTGCCTGTGAGCCGCAAAACCACCCTTGCAACTTTGGGCCGCCGGCCTCAGTGTTAGGAAGTATCGTGTGATATCAGGTCTCGCGAGGTAACGAATTGCTTTACGGCAAAAAACAGATCTGATAAAATTCTGATAAAATGAGCATCAAACAGAAATAACCCGGCGCCCTATACATGTGGTGTTGGGCGTGCGCAGCTCTTAAAGGGGCCATACCTTATTTCCACTCGTTACAGCGTCCATCCCACTGAACAGGTACCGGTGTACAGGGGGAGGGGATCCGGCCGTGAGTGCGAGCCATCTCTGCGTGAGTGCTATTCACGACAGTACAAGTACTCCACAGCGACTCTAGGGGTCGCTGTTTGACAAAAACGGAATTCCTACTTAGTGCTGCTTTAACAGTTTGCTAATACTCAACTAAAAATCGAATGAGAGTTAGTTGACATGTAGGTGTAATGTTACTTAGAGTAAGAACAGAATGTCTAAAGGGGACCATCAAAATGAATTGTAACCCTGATTCATTCAGGAATGTAACACCAAAGTCCCTTTAAGGCAAGTCATTTTACTCGGCGGCCATCTTTGAAAACGCCTTTGAAACGCAGCTCCTATCTCTCTCAATGGGGAAACATCAAACTCTTTAAAGCTGGTCACCAAGCATACGAATAAATTGCAGATTTAAAATGAAATCTGACAACAACTGTCTCATAATTTTTGTTTCTAAACACTCAAATCATTACCAAGAAATTGCATTTTTCAGGCTGGACCAGCCAATGCACATGTACAGTCATAAGCGTGTGTCTCAAAACACAGACTGTTTCTATTGAGACTGGAGCTTCTGAAAGCAGCTGCAGTGATGCAATGACTTACCACTTATTCCTCCATATTGTGCGTTGTACTTTCTCCCATTCATAGAAATATGAGTGCACAGTATTTGTATATCTAAAGTCTTTGGTCTTTTGGTATTTGGTGTAGACACTCAACAGTTGATTCTGCTTTGGCCTCATTTGGAATTAATTTACAAAAAAGATTAATTAACCATGCAGCACTAATGAATTATAGACCTTTTTTCCTGGTGTAAGAACTGATCGTTCTGTCTATATTACAGTTTTTCTCGATTGCTAACACATAACTATTTTCTGTAAACACAATCTCATAACTACACACCAACTCGTACAAACTATCATGTCAAATCAAATATTTTAGTCCAAAACATGTTCACTTTTGTCAGAATCAAATTTTGGCCTCAGATGACACAGAAAACCTAACAAATTACTACTTTCCTGCCTATATTGAGAATAATTAACACTAACAAAATCCTCAACATTCAGGAATAATTTTGCAGCTCAATGTCTATAGTAGTAGACAACATAAATTAGTGCAGATACAGTAAAATACAACAATGAGCTTTAGGAAAAATGATTTTCATTACACTACTGTAAAGAGATTCTACAGTAGATGAAAAGCACTAAAGTTCAAATACCATTTGAATTGAATATGAACTCTGTATGCAACACAATACAGTATACGGTCAATTACAGTGCAGTAATAAATAAATAAATAAATCAAGCATCCTCTTCAAGTGTTATTTGCAATCCTCTGCAAATAAATCAAGCATACACTGTAAAAAAAAAAACGTTAAATTTACAGGAAAACCCTGGCAGCTGTGGTTACCAGAGTTTTCCTGTTAAAAAGACGGTAGCAACCTTTTAGGTTTTACAGACTTTTAACCGTATATAATTTTACAGCAATAAACCGTATTTCATTATCTGATATAATGTTAATTTACTGACCTTTTGAAGTATTAATATCTGTTTTTTTCCATTGTAATACACTGACAGCCAACAATCTCAGCAGTGATGAGAGTCAAATAGTCAACCAAAGCTCATCATAAGCAGCTCTTCCACAAGAAAGTTAATACTAATATATAGAAGCTGCACAGTGTCATTCACACAAACATTAAACACCATCATGGTAACATGTTGAAATTAAAAAAATGCAATAAGCATTAATTTAACAACATTAAATGTAACATAAAACCCTAATGTACATAACTGATTAGAAAAAAACTAAGAAAATTCTGAAGAAACAGTTATTTAAAAACAAAATACATCAAATGTGAAGTGTCTCGCAGGGAATTGTGGGAATGTCAATTTACATTTTTTCACTGTAAATTATACAATGACTTGTTCTTTTTCACTTCCAAAAACTGTAAATTTAACGGTATTTTACAGTAAAATTACATTAAATGTACCATTATATATATTAGTTATTTACCGTATAGTAAGGAAACTTTCTGTTAACCAATTAACAGTTTTTCACTGTAGCATTTTTACAGTCTTTTACCGTTAAAATCACGATCATTTTTTACAGTCTACCCTTATACTGTATGTGTAAGCTGTATAAAAAGCCTGTGGATGAACATAGCACATAATCATTGTTTATGTTTTATGTTTTTTGATGTGTCAAAGGGATAGTTCACCCAAAAATGAAAATTCTGTCATTAATTGCTCACTAATTGCTTTGGTTGACTATTTGACTCTCATCACTGCTGAGATTGTTGGCTGTCAGTGTATTACAATGGAAAAAAACAGATATTAATACTTCAAAAGGTCAGTAAATTAACATTATATCAGATAATGAAATACGGTTTATTGCTGTAAAAATGAGGGCATTTTTGCACTAATCATGAAGAAAATCGGAATGTGTGTGAAAACAGGTGATGTGTCAAAGGGATAGTTCACCCAAAAATGAAAATTCTGTCATTAATTGCTCACTCCAACAACCATAAAACTTCCGTTCATCTTCGGAAAACAAATGAAGGTCTTTTTGATGAAATCTGAGAGCTTTCTCCATTGACATGCTATGCAACTTCCACTTTCAAGCCCCAGAAAGGTAATAAAGACATTATTAAAGTAATCCATGTGACTTCAGTGGTTTAACCTCAACGTATGAGGCGATGCAAGTGCTTTGTTTGCGAAAAAAACATAATTGACCTCTTTATTTACAAAATATAAATCTCAAACGCTCGTTCACGCAACAACTTCTGTTCTCGCGTCAACACAACACACATGCATCTTGGTGCATGTTCTCATGAACACGCGTTGTTGATTAATATATTGTAAATAAAATGGTAATTTATGTTGTGTAGACTGTCAAGTTGTGTAGACTGTCAATGGAGGGATAGAAATCTCTCAGATTTCATCAAAAAAAATCTTCATTTGTGCTCCAAAGATAAATGAGTCATACGGGTTTGGAACGACATGAAGGTGAGTAATTAGTGAGAGAATTTTCATTTTTGGGTGAATAATCCCTTTAAACGTTTTATGAAATGTGTCTTTGTTTTGAGATCTGAATTAATGGTTTGGGAAATTGTGCCAACTGAATCAGTTATTATAGTGTGTTATCAATCGAGAAAAACTGTCATAAATGAAATGCATGGCTTTCCCATGCCTTATTACTTTAGTATACTACTTTGACAACATCACATGTTCTTAATATTCTTTCTGTGTTTTCTCTGTGTGCTGTACAGGGTTTAGAAATCGAGCAGTGTGGTGGTGATGTGTACGAGGACATCTCTGTTTACGCCCAGCCCACAGATGCACCATGGGAAGTTGAGTCCCCAGACCAAGAGTGAGAAAACACACATCCAGATATCAGCTTCACCAGAACAATGATTACATTCCGTCCACTATCACGACGGACCATCTGTGTGTGCTGTGTGTGCACACTGATGATGTCACTGAGTGTGAGTGTATGTTTGAAAAAGATTTCACTTGAAACTATTATCTCGGAAGGAGTAACCATGCCGTTACTGTTTATATACGTTTTGATGATGTTGTAGAATTTACAATAATTCGCAGCTTACAGGGACCGTTCTCAGATGTTCTCTCACAGTTACGAACAAACCTTCTTCCAGTAATGTTAATAGAATGTTCGTTCAAAGTTATGGTCTTTAATAACATTATCAAAACATTACCACAAAAGAGTTATTTACACATTATTCATGGAATGTTTTTCTGAAATATTTTAATTGGACGGTAGTATAATGTTTTTTTGAATGTTACTATTTAGCCTACTTTTTTTTTCAGATGGTTCAGAGAACATTCAAATGTAACGTTCCCATAATACTTGCAAAATGATAGAATGGAGAAAACATGGCTTTAATGTTTTCTGTAACGTTCACATAACCGAGAGAGAAAAAAATGTTTTTAAAATGTTCTGAGAACATTCAGAAATAACGTTTTCATAACTTAATGAGAACGTTAGCAAAACGTTCTTGGAACATATTTGTTGTTAGCATGGTTGTAATACATTTAACTTATGTGTTTGTTGTTTGCTTGTTTGGTTTCTTTATTACTCAATTTCTCAACTGATTGCAACGCATTCTCATCCCAAGGCGTCATATACTGACGCTTTTGCCAAAGCGTCTACATCCGACGCACATGGCACCCTTTAGCGTCAATATAACACGCTTCGGTTATGGGTAGGTTTAGGTCTGGGGTAGTGTTAGGGTTAGACCACTAGGAGGCGCCATATATCTGCGTCTCATATAGACGCTTTGGCAAAAGCGTCAGTATATGACGCCTTGGGATGAGAACGGGTTTGATATTGTGTTATGTGCTATTTTTTTTTTAATTTTTGAGTGTGTTTGTTTTATAAATGCACTGGCTCTGGCGTTTCTTTCGTGATAATAAGGTGCGTGTATATGTGGAAATAAAATTACTCGTGGTAAGGAACTGCTCAATGCTAAAGGGACCTGCAAATCAAATGTCTACTTTCACTTCATATCTGTTAAAATAAGCATGTGAAAATCAGGTGTTTTCCACAAAGCAGCTTTTTTGGTATATTTTCTTTGCATTCTATCTGATATGGACTCCACAAATCTGATGATCATTTGAAAGAGCATCTGCAAAGAACATTTGACCGTCTGTACAAGGATTTAACATTGTCAATGTCACACATTTGCTATTTGACTAAAATATTGCAAAATCATATGTGTTCTTCATTTTACGTTAGAATTTGTTTTGATTCTTTACCCTAAAACAGATCAGATTTGGTCAGTTTGGACTGTACAGTAGGCCTATATGGATTAAGTATATAGGCCTACATACTTGAATGGAGACTGAGACAGGATAATACACATGTATGGAAAAGAGAGAATCTAAGAAATGCAAAAAGAGAAACAGACTGACAGAAAGAGACAGACTGGACGAGTGTTCAGTCTTCTAATAATGAAGTGAGAGAGTAAGAGCTGCAGGGAGAGCTCCATCTTATGGCCATTCAGACAAACTAACAGTCGAGATCATCTTCAGGCTGGAATAGGCTACACTATGGCAAGCCGTTTTAACTTTTATTCATTTCCAGGATATGAATTGTTGATATCAACAATTACAGTTTGAATGGCAGTCTATGGTGACATTTCACTAGTGAAAATACAATTGTTGATATCAACAATTGAATTCTTGATATCAACAATTCAATTCTTGATATCAACAATTGAATTATTGATATCAAAAATGTAATTCTTGATATCAACAATTGTATTTTCACTAGTGAAATGTCACCATAGACTGCCATTCAAAATCAATTGTTGATATCAAGAATTGATTTCTTACTAGTAGGAATATAATTTTTGATATCAATAATTACATTACTAGTAAAAATGCGAATTCCTGATATCAATAATTAAATTATCACTAGTCTAAATGTCTATTCTTGATATCAACAACTGAATTGCTACTAGTAAAAAATTTCATTTTTGATATCTGAAAATGTATTTCTGATATCAATATTATTTCAGATATCTAAAATGGCTTTCTTACTAGTAACAATCACATTCATGATATCAGAAATGAACATTGTCACTAGTGAAAATTGAATTATTGATATCAAAAATGAACATTGTTACTAGTAGCAATTCAATTGTTGATATCAAGAATAGACATTTCAACTAGTGACAATTTAATTCTTGATATCAAAAATAAAGGTTTTTACTAGTAAGAATTGTATTTCTGATATGTGAAATTGGAATTTCAACTAGTAAGAAATCAATTCTTGATATCAAGAATTGATTTTGAATGGCAGCCAAGCCGTTTTAACTTTTATTCATTTCCAGGATATGAATACTTGATATCAACAATTACATTTTCACTAGTTAAAATGATAATTATTGATATCAGGAATAATATTTCTACTAGTAACAATGGCAATTTTTGATATCAGGAATTACATTTTCACTAGTAACAATGCTAATTCTTGACATCAACATTTACATTTTCACTAGTTAAAATGATAATTCTTGATATCAACAATTGAATTGCAACTAGTAAAAACTATAATTCTTGATATCTGTAATTGTATTTTCACTAGTGAAATGTCACCATAGGCTGCCATTCAAAATCAATTCTTGATATCAAGAATTGATTTCTTACTAGTTGAAATTCCAATTTCACATATCAGAAATACAATTCTTACTAGTAAAAACCTTTATTTTTGATATCAAGAATTACATTGTCACTAGTTGAAATGTCTATTCTTGATATCAACAATTGAATTGCTACTAGTAACAATGTTCATTTTTGATATCAATAATTCAATTTTCACTAGTGACAATGTTAATTTCTGATATCATGAATGTGATTGTTACTAGTAAGAAAGCCATTTTAGATATCTGAAATAATATTGATATCAGAAATACATTTTCAGATATCAAAAATGAAAATTTTTACTAGTAGCAATTCAGTTGTTGATATCAAGAATAGACATTTAGACTAGTGATAATTTAATTATTGATATCAGGAATTCGCATTTTTACTAGTAACAATGTAATTATTGATATCAAAAATTATATTTCTACTAGTAAGAAATCAATTCTTGATATCAACAATTGATTTTGAATGGCAGTCTATGGTGACATTTCACTAGTGAAAATACAATTGTTGATATCAAGAATTACATTTTTGATATCAATAATTCAATTGTTGATGTCAAGAATTGAATTGTTGATATCAACAATTGAATTGTTGATATCAAAAATGTAATTGTTGATATCAAAAATTTAATTGTTGATATCAAAAAATGTAATTGTTGATATCTAAAATGTAATTGTTGATATCAAGTATTCATATCCTGGAAATGAATAAAAGTTAAAACGGCTTGCCATATGCCTAGCCTATGGTGACATTTCACTAGTGAAAATACAATTACAGATATCAAGAATTATAGTTTTTACTAGTTGCAATTCAATTGTTGATATCAAGAATTATTATTTTAACTAGTGAAAATGTAAATGTTGATGTCAAGAATTAGCATTGTTACTAGTGAAAATGTAATTCCTGATATCAAAAATTGCCATTGTTACTAGTAGAAATATTATTCCTGATATCAATAATTATAATTTTAACTAGTGAAAATTGAATTGTTGATATCAAGTATTCATATCCTGGAAATGAATAAAAGTTAAAACGGCTTGCCATACTACACACGACTTTTCAACAGATTTTGCCCCGATTTTAAGTTTTAATTTATAGTATAGTTTACTTTTTAATGCATAGTTCAGACTTAAGTCATTATTTCGATTTTTCCCTCTGGTTTCACAGATAAGGCTTAAATCTAGTCCCGGACTAAAATGGATGTTTGAGCTGTTTTAACTTAACGCAACTTGTATTGACATATCTTAAAATATATCAGTGCCATTGATTTGTTTCAAGATTTGTCTTGTTTTGTCTCACACCAGTAATTCTAAGGCACATTTATAAAAGCTACTTAATTGTCCTAGAAGAGTCATACTGGCCCGGTATCACAGACAGGGTTTAGATTAAACCAAGATTAGGCCTAAGTTTAACTAGGACATTTAAGTAGCTTTTATAAATGTGCCTTAAAAACATTACTGGTGTGCATCTATAAAACAATGGCACTTAAGATACGTCGGTACAAGCGACTTCTAGTTAAAACAGCTCAAACATGCATTTTAGTCTGGGACTTAAGCCTTGTCTGTGAAACCGGGGTTTATGTCATAATTGCGACTTTTAAAGTCCTAAATCCTCTTTTTTATTTTTTATTTTATTTTTTTAATTACGACATTCCAATATTCATATAATGATGATGTGTGAGATCCTCAGTTGTTTAGTGTATGATGTTCACTTTTTCTTAACCTTCTACAAAGTCGACAAGTGATGTTCTGAAAAGTGCTGTAGTTTATTCCAGCCCAAGCTGCCAATGTGCAAACATCGGAAAACATTTTCTTCTGCAAAGGATTTTATAAACTTTCTTTATATTTCATAAATAAATTCACAAAATATATTAAGAATTCAAGTTTTTATTGAATGTCAGAAATACAAAATATATATTTTTAATGTAATCAGTAATGCATTTTTGCATATTAATGCTAGAATAAAGGATCCATAAATAAATAAATAAGTATAAAATCTTTTTAAAAAACTGCTAAATATATCATATAAAAAATATATATAAAATATGTTTAAATAAAATAAAAATAAATCAAATATAAATATTAAATAACAATAAATAATTTGAAATATCTTAAATAATTAGCTAAACAGAATAAAAAACAACAATAAATAAATCTATAACTCTTTTTCAACTGTATAACAGTGAATCTACTGTATATAAACAGAGGAGTGTAAACACTGATTAATAACACTGAAATGTTTCCGTGTTCTTGTGTAAATGCGCAGCTTCTGGAAGTCCAGTCAGTGAGCCTGAGTGTTGAAGGGGAAAGACTCCAGCTGGTTCAGGAGACTTATGACCCGTTTCCTGACGATCTCCCAGCTTTTACCTCCATCCTCCTGTAAGAGCAAGACAACATTAGCAGGAGTTTCCACATTTATAGCTGAGGGTTAATCTTTCTATATTAGAAATAGAATCTCACCTTGTTCAGCTCTGTCATGTGTCTCAATCTTTCGAAATAGAGATGCAGCTTTTTGTTCCTCTTCATTTTGTAAACGCCCTGCATTCAGAAAGAAAAGAATGAGTTCCTCTGGCTCGACTGCTGATGACATCACGTATATGCACATCTGAACATACTGTACTCACACATGAGCGCAGTCCGTCAATCTGCGAATGGACGATGTTTAAGAAATCATCACATTTTTTAGCATCCCAGGGCACGACGGCGTCGTCGAAGAGGCCAGTGATCTCCACCAGAGCCTGGATGACAAACAGGATCTGCTTCTCAGGCTGGAAACAATAGAGATATGAATATAGCTTCGTCGTAATCAACAGCACAAATCAGTTTTTTTTTTTGTGAAAATCATTTTTACTAACCTCTGCTCTTCTGTGGTTATTGATCAGCTCATATGGGATAGGGTTGATGTCCTCGTGGTCATTATGGATTTTCTCACCCTGCAAAATATTTAGAAACAGATTTCATGAAGACACTATCTTGAACAGAATGAACAGATTCAGATCTGAATGCTTTTTAATTTTTTGTATCATATGATTGATATGGGTCATATAGTAGGCCTATGATATAGTGAGAATATGAAGTTCATCGGTTTTATTCAAAGGTCAAAAACTGAGCCGAAATATGAAAGTTGCTGTAGAGGTTGATATTAACATGGCCAAAAAGCAAGATGAAATTCTGATAGCTTGTAATGTAAATCCGAATAACAGATACTGACATAAAATTCATATTAATAGATCAGTAAGATGATATTTAAATGTTTAGTTTTATGAACCATATTATAGAGTAAAACGTATAATGCAATGCAATACAATGATGATTGACAGATGTCCAAATAAACTTCCCTCAAAAGCCTGATAGATCATATTGGGTAACACTTTATTTTACGGTGTCCTTGTTACACATGTTACATGTACTTACTGTAGTAATAACAGTAAATTATGCATAATTACATGTAACTAACCCTCAACCAAATCCTAATCCTACCCTATTCCTATAGTAAGCACATGTAGTTACTTAATATTACTCTGTACTTAAATATATAATTACACTGTAACAAGGACACCTTAAAATAAAGTGTAACCTCATATTGATACTCACATTTCAACATGATTTTTTTTAATCAAGTAATCAAGTAAACTTCAGTCCAGTAAGTGTTCATCTTGAAATATCACTAACAATATAGCCTAAAGGTTATTCTCTCTAGTCTCTACATTGTACTAAAAGACCTTTTATTCACTAAATGTGTGAATTATCAATGTGAAGATTGAGGTTTTTCACTTAAATTTTGCTCATGTTGGTAATTTAGACTAGAGGCCATATAAAATCATGTATCGAATATGATACAGTAGCCTACAGGGTTCAAAAGACTTTGCGATTTTTTTTTACACTTACAGTCCTTCATGACAATTTTTTTTAATACAACTATTAGTCTCTCAATGAATAGCCATAACATATATGAAAAATAATTATTTAAAAAAGAAAAAATCGGAAGACATTCTTTAAGTAGAAAAAAACACTCACCATCGTTCTGATCAGATCCAGAGAGATTCCATGATGGTGCCGAAACTTTGATTGACTTCGTTGAGTTTGACTGGTCCACCTGCAGCTCAGCACAGAGCTGACACACACTGCCAGGAGAAGGCAGAGCTTCAGATCCACACGATTCATCCTGTTGTCTTGAGTGATCAGTGATTCCACAGGTTCCGCTTGATGAGCTGCTGCTGTTTCAGTCCTCCGCTTGTTCTTAACTGCTGTTGGATGATCTTGTCTCTTCTCCTCCATGCTGTCCTCTTATATAGGCTATCTCATGAATCGAATATGATATTCACTTTGCAAATGTCAGCGGCACACCTGAGCGATAGGTAAACCACGGTGCGCAAGCGTGAGAGGGAAAGTTCGACGTTTCATCAGAATTCCCACAGTGATTTTTCATTATGTAGCTACACAATAACAAGCGCAAATACATTACACTTGAATATATACAGTATAAAACACCACCGAAGATCTATTGGTAATGTACAGTAGCCCTACAATAAAAATTAAGAGAGAGAGAGAGAGAGAGAGAGAGAGAGAGAGAGAGAGAGAGAGAGAGAGAGAGAGAGAGAGAGAGAGAGAGAGAGAGAGAGAGAGTGAATGGACTCGTGTTGCCTTGTACGAACACAACTTCTCAATAAATAAACAAAGAAATTGCACGATAGGCCTAGATACTGTTTAGCAGAATAAAGCATAAATCAATGTTGGAAAACGTACATATAGCCAATATAGGGCCTATTAATAGCCTACACAAATGTTTACATGTGCACAGCGTGTTTTGTTTATTAATTTATTTTAGGTAATTTGTGTCTGTTTGTTTGTTTCATGATTTGCAGAAGAAGAAAGGTCATGTTTCTTTGCGTTTGTGTGTGAACTTTGACTCTTATTGTAGAAAAAATTCCAAACCTGAATACCTGAGAAAGTGAAATCGAAAGCCAGTGACGTCGTGAGTCGTGACGCCATATATAGGCTACCTATTCCATATTTCAATTCATCATTGAATGCACATGAATTATTACAGTACAATTAGCAATTACAAGAATATTAGTCAGAAAAAAGACTAATTCCGTGGGCTAAAATCAATTATAAGGAGAAATAAAGCTGTCAGTTTAGCAAATGCTGCCCGGCAATGCTGATGACGTAATGCCTTGAGTTGAAAACACACGACAGATGATGATGATGATGATGATGAAATTAGAAGAAAATAGATAATGATGATATAATAATAATAAGAAGAAGAAGAAGAAGAAGAAGAAGAAGAAGAAGAAGAAGAAGAAGAAGAAGAAGAAGAAGAAGAGGAGGAGGAAGAAGAAGATTGAAATAAAAATGTAAAAAAAATATATATATTTAAGGTTTTTAAATAGATACCAAAACCATAAAATAAGGGTGAATGCAGGTAAAGTGGGACACTTTTTGTTAAATGTGTGATTTAGATAGGCCTACATATGTTTCTTTTCTTTTCTTTTCTTTTCTTTTCTTTTCTTTTCTTTTCTTTTCTTTTCTTTTCTTTTCTTTTCTTTTCTTTTCTTTTCTTATCTTTGTTAACTTTAAGGCCAGCTTCAATTTGAATACAGTTCATAGGCTATTGTTGTTATTTGCCAGGTATGAACATTTTGAGATGCACTCCAGACAAATGTATTTTCAGCAAATGTCAGCCAGATGGTCTGGTAAAGTGGGCCATCCCTGATTTATCAAAAATGATCCTGTATCAAAAACACGATTTATTACATCATCAAGGCTAGTCAACATCAACAACATTAAACAAACCAAAAACATATAGCTTATATGAGTAAAATTCATCAGTTCACTCAATGCATGTGTAAAATTTAAAACAACGGATAGAACATGTTGTGTTGACATTAAATTTAATGAAATGAAAATGAACTCTACAACATAATAAAAATGTGACTATAACATGCAAGGCTACCAAAAATTGAATAAGATTCAATATGGCTTAACCATAACCATTCAATATGCCTTTTTTCTGTCTATTTTCTCTATATCAACTTTAATTGTGTTCATATTTTAGAGCTCTCTCTGTATCTAAATGTTGCTCCTCTCGTCCTTTCTTCCCTTCACAGGTTGAATTTAACGCCTTCTGTTCTTTCTTTCCTTTCTTCCATCTCTGACTTGAATTTCCTGACTGCACACTCATGTCTGTTTTCTAAAAAAATATACAGGTCAACTATAAAATAACAAGTGAATGAATGTCAATTTGAGAATAATTACGGAAGGTTAAAGGTCGCCCACTTTACATGAATCCCACTTCACTGTCCCACTTTATCTAACACATTCAGCCATGGTGGGCCAGCAATATTTAAACACAAGAAAATAAATTTTAAGCCTTTTAGTCTTTGCATTTTATTCCTTGTTAACTGTAGTAACAAACAATAATATTTGTTTAAATTTAGCGAGCAACCTTAAGTTAAAAATGAAAATCTTATGTCTAAACTGGGTTTTCTTTCATATTGAGGTGTTTTTTGATGTGTGGCCACGACCACCAATGTCATATTCCATCAACCAAAACTATTTTATCATTTAAAGAAATAGTGTCTACTGAGCAGCACAGTCCAATCACCCTTAAACGACCCACTTTACCTGCATTCACCCTATAGCCTACATAAGCTAAATACATAAACGTATGGAAAATAGCATAGCATAATAGCAAATAAACTCTGACCTTAAATAAATGAAGACAGGCATATAAAATAGTCAGCTTTTAAAGCTTTATTTTTATACGTCAGTTAGTGCGTATAGAAATATTTTACGTTATTTGTTATTTTAATTTGTTTTGAAACTCATGTGTGAAATGTCCTACACGTCACAAAAGGGTTGTAGAACAAACATATTTTTCTTATGCTTTATTTTTCATTAATGATTCGTTTTATTGTCACTTTTATACAATATTGGGCGATTTCTATTTCTTTAAAATCAATTTCTGTAACTTAAATTACTTTTCTGTTTTATTCAACTATGCTGATTGTTGGTTGAAACATTTTATTCATTTCCATCAGACATAAATCCAGCATTAAGAAAATAATAATTGACTTTCGCCGTCTGTTTAGAAAAGCATGCTGTTTATTGATACAGGTCATCTCGCTGGAGTCTTCAACACACTCAATGCTGCGCGCGAATTGCGCAATAGCTCCAGTCGTCAACAGGAACACGATGAACCTTGCGTTCATTTCCCATCCTGCCTTTCGCGTCAGCTGATCTTATCACATCGCCTGTGTGTGCTCTTCTGTTTTCCTGGATCAGCGAACGCGAGTGACAGATATCACACGACTCGTGCTCATGTCGATTCGGTAAGAGGAAAGAAAACACATCAGCCATGACCGTGTATTGTTGAATCGGCACCGCGACAGAAAAACGCAGAACAAACATGGTGAGTGTACGAGCATATTGTGCTGTATAATGTATTAGCAAAAATAATAATGATACCATTACTGTCTGTTGTGTAACGACAGATTCGTGAGCAATAAGAAAGTCTGTATAATTATGTTCGTGTGCCATTTAAGGTCGTTTGGATGCTTCTGAACTCACGATTAAGTTCATTCATAACGGAGATTAAATAAAATACTTTTTAGAGATTAAATGCTACTGTTTTGACCATATAAACAATGCTTCCAAATCTGTTGTCGTGTTTTGACCATATAAACAATGCTTCCAAATGTGTTGTCGTGTTTTCAGTGAGTGAACTGTCATGAATTTTATGTTGTTTTGAGTCTCTAGTGCAAATTACATAAAAAAGAAGTACACTTTGATGTACTTTGAAAACAAGAGTACTTATTACTGAAATAATGTAGTTAATAATAGTAATATGCTTAAGTGCAAAGTGAATGTAATGTGTTTGGACACTTAAATGTATTAGCCTATAACTCAGATTTATATTTAAAAAATGTGCTTTTTTTACCCACTTAGGTAGGACTTAAGTACATTTTTAAATGTAATTTCATAATTAATTCTGTTATCTTTGAAATATGGTTGAAGTGTACTGCTGAATGTACATACAAGTATTTCTTGGACTCAGTATGCACTTAATTTGATGTAAAATGAACATGTTAACATAAGCAATGTACTTCATTGACGTGTGGCAGACCTAGCCTATCTGAAGAGGAAACTTGTAGGCTTGTGTGTATCAGTTCCACTATTCGCTGCCTAAACAAAGACTGCCAGTAATTACACTTTTCTTCTCCTCATTGCGTTTTTATTAGCTACCCTATAATCTCCTTTATTATATGAACATGTAGGGAAGTGTAACATGAGTTGTAACACCATCAGTCTAACAACTTGGAAAAGATTTACAGATTAAATCACTATTATATATGAGCTGAGAGAACAGAATTGCAGATTCTCATGTATAATTTGATTTTAAAAAAACAGGCACAAAAGTATTTCATGTACATGTTTAAAAAACATCATGGCTGAGAAACACAGAGGGTTGTAACACTTTCCAGCATAGAACAAAAGATGACACAAAATGAAAGAGTGACCAACACATACTCACACTGTCTGTTTGAGTTGTTTTATGTGTTTCTATATTTGCTTCTGGTGTTATTTGTGTTTTGAATGAAATGTTACCTAGAAACAGTGTCCACTATTTGTGTTACATCCCGTGTGGTAGGTTGTAACAACAGCACTATTTTTTACTATTAATTTACTCTGATTCAGATGTTCAGATTTACACTGATAAGTTGTAGATTTTGAAACGACTTAAGTTTGAGGCTAACACATAATGGAGAATTTGAGACTGCATTACAGTGTGACAAAATGACTGTGCTGCAGTGTTACAAAATGTTACAACTCTCCCGATCTCCTCTATACTCATTTGTCTATTTTGCAGTGTGTAAAGCACGACTAATCGAAGCCAGAGGAGCCATGCTGGCCACCCAAACCCCTGAGAGCGGCCCAGAGGCAAAAGATGTCAAACAGGTTTGCAACTTCCTCATCTTTTTGAAGATTAGTTGGATTGTGGACATTACAAGGTCATTGATATGAATGTTTTGACTTTTTGTTGAGCAGGTTCTTGAAGGAAAATTAATTTGCAGGAAACCTGGATTTGTTCTTGTAAACCTGCGTTAAATCAAAGATGTTGTGTGTTGTTTGATGAACGTTAAAACACTTTCTCCTATCACAGCTTATAT